CGCTGCTCCCCTCAGCAGTGTACTTCATCTATCTGCCTGTTCTGTTCCCCGCTCTATCTCTGGTGAATCCTCTCACTGCCCCTGCACCTCTGGCTTGTACCCCAGTTCTGTATGCACAAATAAATAAATCTTTAAAAAAAAAAATCTAAACCCTTCGACTAAGAAAAGAGGCTCTCCTTTGTCCTGGTGGGGAGGGAACATTTCTACTTCTGAGGATTAAAAAAGGACTGTGTCAGCACTCGGGTGGATGTTTTCAGATGCAGTCAGACTTCAAAAAGTCATGCCAAGCCAAAGTGAAGTCAAGCAACCATCCAACGGCAGGAAGGGGGGAAACGTGCGAGGCCCACACAAGCGAAAGAAAACGTAGATGTGATTGACGGGGATTACAATTGAGATGAAAAACAAAATGTACAAAATGATGTAAAAATAAACTATTATAAAGAAAAAAAACATATGTGATTGATAGTGATTGATAGAAATGTATTGCTGCTTCAGATCCTTTTGGGAAAGACATAGTCAGACCCCAGAGATATCACAGAAGGTGAGTGGAAGAGACAAATATGTCGTAAATGTCATGACGCACAGACAAGCATTGTTTTGCTCTTACTGTACAGGAAGCCGCAAATAAACAAGTAATACTGAGCCGAGGCTGGTGTCAGGCGCTGGTCCCAGCGAACGTGTCCCTTCAACCTTCCTCTGGTCCCCTGAGAGTACTGCAGCCAGAATCCCCCCCACCCTGTAACGTCAACTTCTTTGTTAGAAAAGTCAAGCAGAGCAGAATCAAACAGGAGCACCCTTTGTTCTGCCTTTTCCCCACGCCCTGCCCTTGTGATCTCTCATCCCAGGAGCCATGAGAACTGATTATGTTACACCTCTAGCAAAATCCCCTCTGCCCCTGGGAGGCTGCATCTGCTGGGCTGTTAACCCCAAGGAACTGTCTCTGCTGAAGAAGGCTCGGTTCCTCCCTGGCCTGCACTTGCAGCCCCTCCTCAGACCTGGGAAAGCCAAGCCCCTCGCTCTGCCTGCTCCTGTGTATAGTCACAGCACCCCGCCCTTCATTTTAGTGAGCCACCTCAGGGACCACCTCCTGTGAGAAACTCCTTTTGTGCAAAGATTCTCTCATGCTTCAGCTTGACTTTCTAGGTGGTGAGCAAAAGACCCGGTTTTGTCGCTTACAGCCGCTAGTAACTCCTCTTCAGATGAAGAAAGAGTGGCACAGAGAGGTTTGGTAGCTTGCCCAGAGCCACACAGCTGAGGAGCCAAAGGCTGAAGCAAAAGGCCAAGACCCCACCTGTGCTGCTATGGGACATAAAGCTAAAGGCTGAGCGCCAGCGAAGGCGGAGAATAGGGCTCCGTGTAAACATTCACACAAGGTGGCTGCTTTATTTTGGGGTCCGGCTCAGGGTGCCTCTCCTCTCAGACATCGCAGGACCTTGCTCCAGACTAAGCTCTCTCTGTATCCAGCAGCTGTGACCGTCCTCCAACCAGAGCCAAGGTCTGCGGGAGCCGGGTTAGAACTTTCCCGAGCCCTTTGTGATGCTGTTGGAAGACCCCTGGCTGTTGCCAGGTACCCGCTGGACCTGGGGCTGGGGTTGTCCAGCATGCCCTGAGCCAGTCTGCCTCTCCACACTTCCCACCTGCTCGGCCCTTGTGGGTTCTTCACCGCGAGCACAGTCACCTCTACCTCCTATCCCCAAGGTCCTCACCACATTTCCTCGACACCATCTGCTACACTGGCCTTCTGGAACTCTCTCAGGTCCCAGGCTGAGCTCTGTCCTCCCTTGTGGCCACCTCTCACCTCTGTGCCTGTGTTGGCCTCCTCCCCCAGGCCCCACAGACTCACTACCTTCCTCTTCAGTACCAGGCTTACCATTCCTTCTTTCTTCAGCCCCCTCGCCTCCCCCAGTCACCACCTTCTCCTGGGCCCCCATGCCCTCTGCTGCCATTGCTCCCACACCTAGCCAGTGCTCTCTCCCCACTCCCTGCTGCTTCCTCTCTCTTCTCTCCCTCTCCTCTCCCTCCTCCCCCCTACCTTATAGCAGCACCCGTTAGATCTAGGGTTACCACAGGGCACAAAGGGAAAAAGAATATCAAGATGCCTCCTGATCAGAATCCAAACCCAAACCCAAGAAGACCCAAAAAGGGGCTAAGAATGACTCGGAGAAATAACATGACGAGGAAGAGAAAGAAGGGAGAACTGGAGGAGCTGAAGAAGGATGTGGTCATGGTGAGGAGCCCAGGATGGTATGACCAGCCCTGTGGGAGACACCCTCAACCCTCAGCCTTTTCATCGAGGCCTGAGAACTTAACCACGTAGGCCAGACTCGCCCTCTCCCTCAAACGTTCCCCCCTCAGGGACCCAGCGCCACCACCACCTCTCCCTCACAACTCTGCTGTCCCCTCAGGATGATCACAAGTTGACCCTGGAAGAGCTAAGCACCAAGTACTCTGTGGACCTGACAACAGTGAGTACAGCCAGGCTGAGGGGGGTTCAGGGCGGGGGCAGGGGGGCGTTGGCAGGTCAAACTGCCCAGCTTTTGCTCTGGGTCCGTGTATCTGAAGCCCCACCCTGGGGACACACCTGGGGAAAGATGACACTCAGCCCTGTCAGAGTTCAGGACTAGGTGAGAGGAAGGATGGTTCAGGGAGCCCAGCTTGAACCAGGGTGCCTACGCTATGCTCTTGCCCACCATCAAGGACCAGTGAAGCTTTCTTACATGTTTCTGTCTCTCTGCATTTACTGCCCAGGAAATCAAAGTTGAGAAATTAGAAAATAGTTCCAGATTCATTTAAAAACACAAGAGTAAGCTCTCTACATATTAGTCTAGATAAAATTTTATGACAATTGCTTTTCAGGACAAACAACAGTGGCTTTTTATGCTTTGCAAACCTCGTTAATGTCCAACTTGTTGATAGAAGACAACTGGATTCTCAGACATTTTCAGTATCAAATCTGTCATGTTGACTCTGGAAAATTCCTATGTGTGCTCAAGAGAATGAGAGAGAAAATGATTTAGTAGTATCACAAACATTGTTTGGCCCTGTGGACTCCAAGAAAGGGTCTCAGAACCCCAGGGGTACCCAGCTGTTTTAAAGTAAAAACAGATCTCACCACTGTTACTATTACTATTCCAAGGGCTGCGGCTACCACCACACCCTAATATAAAAACCACAATAAAACTTCAGTCTTCCAAATTTCCAAGTTTCTTTTAGTTCTAGAATTTCTTCATTGGAGGGGCCTGAGGTAAAGACCTGGTAGCCGGAGGAGTGGGGGAGACTAGTCTTGTTTTTATCAAAAGTGTCTTCTTCAAGGCTGGGGCGTGCTGATGGGGCTCAAGGAGAGTCTGTGACTTTTGCAAACTCATTGCACTACTTCAGTGATGGAAGTTTCTGCTATCATTTTTATTTAGAGGAGGAATCACACACATGGCTAGACTGAGAAACTATGCATTGTGTCTTTCATCGGTATCTCCTTTCTGTTTCCAAGTTAATGGGTCAAAGTGTGAATCTGTTATCAACATTGTATCTCACTGGCCCAGTAACCTGCCATGACATATTGTAAATCGTCTGTTTTTATCTCCCCACCAGAGTTTGAGACCCACCTGGGTAGAGGCTATTTCTACTTTTTGGTAGCCTACCCTTGGGCCCCAGCTAGGTGTCCAAAAAGGTTTGTGAATCAGTGCATAAACGAAAACTCCCTCGGATACCCTGCTAAACGCCAAACTGCTAAGTGTACCCCTCCATCATGCAAATTTTAAAATCCATTTATCTCGCAAGAACTTCCTGAGGGAACTTCAGAGAGCTTCCTGGTCTCCAGACCCACATGGGCTGTGAATGGCAGCTTTAAGTGTGAAGTTGGATTTCCCTATTGCATCTCTCTTGGTGATTCTCTATTCCCCGTCTCTGCTCCCCACAGGGCCACAGCTCTAAAAATGCAGAGGAAATCCTAAATCGGGATGGACCCAATGTACTCACCCCGCCCCCCACCACTCCAGAATGGCTCAAGTTCTGCAAACAGATGTTTGGGGGCTTCTCCCTCCTGCTGTGGACAGGCTCCATCCTCTGCTTCGTGGCCTACAGCATCCAGTTCTACTTCAAGGAAGACCCTACCAAGGATAACGTGAGTCTGGGTCTCTCCCTGAAGATGCGATGGGTTAAAACACAGCACTATGGGGCCCTCCCTGGTGGTGCAGGGGTTAAAGCACTGCACTTTAACCCTGGGAGGAGATCCACATGGCGAGGCAGACCTCTCCTGACCCGCCCACTGCTCCCCTCAGCAGTGTACTTCGGTAATCTGCCTGTTCTGCTCCCCATTCTGTCCCTGGTGAATCCTCTCACCCTCCGCATCTCTGGCCTGTACCCCAGTTCTGTATGAATAAATAAACTTAAAAAAAAAAAAAAAAGCACTATGAAGCTATTGCAGCCACTGCAGCATGAGTTTGATCCCGACTAGGGAATTGACCCTGGTGTGGCAGACCTCTCCTGACCCACCTGCTGTTCTCCTCAGCAGTGTGTTTCAGTCAATCTGCCTGTTCTGCTCCCTATTCATCTCTGGTAAACCCTCTTACCCCCTGCGCCTCTGATCCGCACCCTAGTTCTTGTATGCACACAGAAATCTTTAAATATATAATATATATATAATATATATCTTTAAATATATAATATATATAAAACATGAGCCTGCTCTCTCCTGTGCCTCTGCCGTTCCTCTGTTGCTCCTGGGTCCTCTGGCTCAAATCTTTGATAATGAGCCCAGAACTTTCTCAGGGGTCTATGCTACCTCCTGGTTTCCCTGTTTTTGTTTTTTTGTTTTTTTTTTTACCTAGAAAGCTGATCCCCGAGAGGCCTGATGGCCCCGGAAACTTGGAGTCTTCAGCTTATCTCCCCACCTAGTCATCAAAGCACTCTGCAGTCTGTTCTTCCCAGGACTTGCGTCCCCTCCTGTTCTTCCTCCCATGTCACTCACTCTCCGAGTTCTCTCTCTCCCTCCCAGCTGTACCTGGGCATTGTCTTGGCTGTTGTGGTCATCATCACTGGCTGCTTCTCCTATTATCAGGAGGCCAAGACCTCCAAGATCATGGAGTCTTTCAAGAACATGGTGCCTCAGGTAGGGCTGGTGTGAGAGGGTCTGGTGAGAAGGGTATAGAATGGGGCCAGGTGTACAGTTGCTAAGTCTGGGGAGAATTAAATCCCGTGTGAGGTTCTGAGGGACTTTGGTGACCGGGGTGAGGTTCCTTAGATTGGGTCATGAAGTGTCCTGAGAAGACACTCCTAACTATGCCTAAACTGCGTCACCTGAATGTGCATGATCTGAAGCCCGAAAACAAAAGCATTCTCTTTTTAAAGCAAGGATCAAGAGTTTGGGGAGCTTGGTTGTTTTAATTGATGACATTAAAGACAACAATCATGGGAATGAAGGTTCCAGATTAGAGGAGATTAGGGAAACAGGACAACTAACTGCCATACCTGGCCCGAGACTAGATCCTGTGCTGGAGGAGAGAATGATGCTATAAAGGACTTAAGGGCCGCTGACAAAGCTGAAATGCAAACAGTGGACGTAAGTATTATGCAATGTTAGGTGCCGAGACCCAGAACCGTTGGGGCCCTCTACTCACCTGATTCTTAAGGGGAGCGTGTGAGTATGTTGAATAAAATGCCATGAGGGATGTCAGTCCCCCTCCTGTGGTTAAGAAAAAACAGTTCACACACAGAGATATAGAAAGAGAACCAGTGATAAAGCAGAAGGGATAGGATGGAAATCTGGGTGAAGCTTATACTTGGGCTCTTGGTATAGTATTATTCCTGGCCCTTTCCTGGGGTTTTAGATTATTTACAAATAAAAGCGCTCTCTCTCTCTCTCTCTCTCTTTAGTATTATTTTTTATTATATGTTATAGTTTATTTTTATATCATTTTGTGCATTTTTCCACCTCATTTGCAATCCCCTTGAGCTTCCCATCACCAAATCACCCATGTGCCATCACCGGGAGTCCCGGTGACAGTGCATTCAAATAAAAGATCTTTTTAAGGACCTGGGAGAAATACAACGGGACAAAGGGGTCCCTAGGCATAGGGCGTGGTCAGACACGACCACACTCGTAGGTGTGGTGCTGTGACTGGGAGCTGAGCTGTAGGACGGTGGGTCTTTCTCCTCCCCATCTCTCTCCCTCTAGGAAGCTGGCTGGGCTTGCTCAGTGAGTAGAGGGAGTCCCGGTGACAACAGGGCAGGCACCGATACACACACATTTTTTAAGCCTCTGTTTTTAATCGATTTGCAAGTGTCCCATGGGCCACTGCAGGCCTTACAGCCAAGTCTATGTGAGGATGGAGAGAAAGACCCCAACTCTTAGTGGGAGGAGCATCATAGTTAAGCGAGGCAGACAGCCACGGTGAGATCTTCGCGAAGGAGCAAAGTGTGTGAGAGGGGTATCCGAAGGAAGAAGACCAGGAACATGCCGCAGTAGGCCAGGAGCAGGATGGGGAACTGGCAGCTTTGGAGATGACCCTGTACTATCTCCCACAGCGAGCTCTGGTCATTCGTGGGGGAGAGAAGCTACATATCGATGCACAAGAAGTGGTGTTGGGAGATCTGGTGGAGGTGAAGGGGGGAGACCGCATCCCAGCTGACATCCGGCTCATCTCTGCACAAGGATGTAAGGTGAGGGGTGTAGGGAATGAGGGGGGGGGAGCCATCACAGCCTTTAGGTGCCACAGTGACCTCAGTGCAGTTAGAGAAGACGTGACCCTATTCAGAACCAAGGACATAGTGTGGTCAGTGCTAGTCAGGCATTGGGGTGTCTATTCCTGTCACTCTCTGCTCTTCAGTAATGGTGATGAGGGGGGCAGATAACACTATATCATCTGCATAAATAAATTCTTTTTCCCAAGCTCACCACCCATCCTCCCTCCCATCCCAGGTGGACAACTCATGCCTGACTGGAGAGTCTGAACCCCAGACCCGCTCCCCCAATTTCACCCATGAGAACCCCCTGGAGACCAACAACATCTGCTTCTTCTCCACCAACTGCGTGGAAGGTGAATATTGCATCCCAGAGAACCTAGATTCAAAGCTGACATTGCAATAGAGATCTTGAGAAAGCTCTATTTTCTAAAGGCAACAGCATACATCTAGTTCTCTGTCCCTTGTGAGCTCTGTGACCTCAATGGAAGGTCACAGCCATCATTTCCACAGGAGCTTAGTGGTGATCTAAGTTGCTACCCCATAGATTTTTATGTGGATCAACTGAGATAATACATATAAACGTTTAGCACAAGGCCCAACCCATTGTGAGTGCCCTACAATTGTTAGCTGTTGTTATTCCAGCTAGTGAACAAACGATGCTCTGTGAGCTGAAAACAGACAAAAGGAAAGAAAATTATTCAGCCCTGGTAGGCTGTTCTCTCCCCCATTAAGCCCAGCCTCTTACTATTCCAACAGAGGATACAGGCATTGGAAACATGAATTACCAGACGTACCATACTTTCTGGCTTTGCACTTAGGATTCAAGACATCCTTGCACCGTGAGGCACTGGCCAGAGGGGTAGCAGTAGCTCAGTGTCCTATGGCACCCTCTCCTCATCCTCTCCCATACAGTAGGCCTGCAAGATTCTGGAACACGTGAGAAAACCGTAACTCTTGATGTGTGCCATTCTTACTGGTGTAAGGTGGGAATACACCTAAAGAGAGAAAGCATACAGGCATACAGTGTACAAAATTGAAGAGTGATGCAGTAGATTTATAAATTATATACATGTAAATTAATGTTTAGGTATCTAAAAAATACATTTTTTTAAAAATTGAATGCCTAGTCTAGTGCTACAGATACTGCTGATTCCCACAATGCTATGCAAAGACACCATCCCTCCCACACATGAAAGGCTCAGGTTCAAAGAAGTTCAGTGCAGTATTCAAGAGCACAGCTCAGCAAGAAAGATGGTCCTGGATTCACACCAAAGCCCATGCTCTTTCCACAGACCTGCCTCTGAAACCAGCTTGCCAGTGACCTCTCTGGTCGTAAAACTATTTCATTTGAAAATTCCTTAAAGCATGAGAATAACATGAAGTCTGAAGAAGAATCCAACCAGTGAATAAAACATGTCTGATGATAAAATGTTAAATAATTTGAACAAAGAGCTGCAAGCCAGCAAAATTCCAAAACACTAGATTTCTTTAAAAAAAAAAAAAAGATTTACTTATTTATGTATACAAGAAGAGTGGGAGGGGAATGAGAGAATTCACCAGAGACAGAGTGGGGCACAGAACAGGCAGATGTAACTGAAATACACTGCTGAGGGGAGCAGCGTGTGGGTCAGGAGAGGTCTGCTGCACCATGTGTGTCACCTCCAGAGCCGGGGATCAAACTTGTGCTGCAGTGGCTGCAGAGAGCTTTATAGTGCTGTGCTTCACCCCTTGCACCACCAGGGAGGCCCCTCCAAACTATTTTTAAAACACACCTAGTGCTCACATTTTGGCTGGTGCTTTCATCTCATTTCAAGTCAAGGAACTGAGTCTCAGCCTTTAAGTAACTTGCCCCAGGCAAACACCTCCTAAGATGGAAAGTTGAACAACCCTTAGTCTTTCTAAAGATTCTAAAATAAGCGCTATTTCTGTAACATGTTGCTTTTCTGAGTGATTCTATTTAATAGTAGGAATTTCAACCATTATGGTAAAGCAGGAAGAATTCTTTCGAGCAAAGAAATTTTTTAAGTAGGCTGGGTTTGTAACACTACATAGGCTGCAGGTGTGCAGATGGTGACGTCACCATCTCTGCACACTGCATTCACACATACCAAACGTCTAGTTTCCATTCATCACCGTACAAGTGACCCCACTTACTTGGTTTACCTGTCTTCTTGCTTGTAACCACTCTTCTGTCTTTGTAGTTGTGCAGACTTCCTTTTGCTTATTTATTTGTTTCTTTATCTTCCATATGAATGAAATCACAGGTGTCTGTCTCTGTCTGACTTCCGTTAGCATCATCCCTTCTTGATCCATCCAAACCCATGCAGGTGGGTGGCCTGCATCATACATGTAGAAAGGCAAACACGAAGGTCATGTTCCCTGCCGACCCTGGCAGGTGGGGTGAGGGAGCACAGAGGCCTGACTGCTATGGCTTGTGCTACCCAGCAGGGGTCACACTGGCTCAGGCAGCAAGCAGGGAGGGGCTCTGGTCAGGGCCAGTATTCTCTAGTGGCACCGCAGCTGCTGACACTTACAGGATGGTTCGCTACGGAGGAGGGTGGTCCTGTGAATTGCAGGGTGGGTTGCAGCTTCCACCCAGAAGCAAAAGCCACCCCTCGTGTCCCAGTTGTGACCACCAAACATGTGTCCAGACAGGGCCTAATGTCTCATGGCAGGGAGCAGATTGAGGACCACTGGGTAAAAGGACAAGGAGATGTTGGAACAAAGGGCTGCAGCAGAGGGGTGACCACTGTTCCGAGGGACTGAGTAACTGTCTCAGCTGCTGAAGACAAAATAAGAAGGAGGGATGACTCCCTCGTGGCGCAAGGGATTAAGTCAGCACTATGAAGTTCTCCACAGTTACTGCAGTATCAGTTTGATCCCCAGCCACGGAGCTGACACACATGCACAGCAGACCTCTCCTGTCCCGCTCACTGCTCCCCTCAGCAGTGTGTTTCAGTAGATCCTCCTGTCTGCTCCCCACTCTGTCTCTGGTGAATCCTCTCAACCCCTCCCTAACCCCCACACCTCTGGCCTGCACCCCTGTTCTTGCATGCATAAATAAATAAATCTTTAAAAAAAAAAAAAAAAAGAAACAAACAGGGCCCTCCCTGGTGGTGCAGCGGGTTAAAGCACTGCACTAAGAAGCTTAAGCCACTTCTGCATGAGTTCGATCCCCGCCTGCCCTGGGGTGACCACATGGCGTGGCAGACCTCTCCTGACCCGCCCACTGCTCCCCTCAGCAGTGTATTTTGTCAATCTGCCTGTTCTGCTGCCCACTCTGTCTCTGGTGAATGCACCTTTGGCCTACACCCCTGTTCTTGCATGCATAAATAAATAAATCTTTAAAAAAAAAAAAAAGAAGCAAACATACATATACACATGCCCCAGAAGCCACATAGACGAAATATGAAAAAGGCCTCAAAGACAGGCCATAAAATCAGTCACTCCTGGAGAAGTGCAGTCACTTCAGAGATTTTGCAGGCTGGGAGACCCTATATTTCTATGAACTAAAAGTGAAAACAAACCATAACCCTCAGAGGCCTTGACTTCCTTCCTTGTAAATGACCAGTGGCAGCTCTTGCTATAGAAACCAAACCCTACAATCTCCCCATTTCGCACCTCCACTTTGTTCACAGGAACTGCGAGGGGCATCGTCATCGCCACAGGGGACTCCACTGTGATGGGCCGCATCGCCACGCTGACCTCCGGCCTGCCCATGGGCCAGTCACCCATCTCGGTCGAGATCGAGCACTTCATCCACCTGATCACCTCCGTGGCCGTCTTCCTGGGTGTCTCCTTCTTCGTGCTCTCCCTCATCCTGGGCTACAGCTGGCTGGAGGCCGTCATCTTCCTCATCGGCATCATCGTGGCCAATGTGCCCGAGGGGCTGCTGGCCACTGTCACTGTGAGTGGCTTGGGGGGGAGGCACCTGGCAGTCACCCCAGGAAGTGCAAGTCCTGATTGTCTCTTGTGTTGCTGAACCTCCCAAGTGCAGCACGGCTTTCCTGCCGCTTACACAGGTGTGGATTCCTTTAGCTCCCATATTGCACTGACTTCCTCCCCTCTCCCCCTTCTCTGGGGCCTTCTCTTTGTTCTTGAGATGTGGTGATGCAGAACAAGGCATTAGATGTTAAGTCGCCAGAGTGAGCTCCTGTCACAGTGGATCCGTGGGGGACAGCCAAGTCACTATGTCCCCAGGCCTCAGTGTATTCCTGCTCACGGAGGACGGTAAATGTAGAATCATAGAATCTTATTGGAAAGGACTTCAAAGGCCACATTAAATTCAGTCTTTCAACTGAGCAGAATGTCCAGATTAAAATCCACCTGAGATGCTTATTTCAGAGATGAGAAGTCCACCCTTTTTGTCTTGACTTATTTCATTCTTGGATTGCTCTGTTTATCAGTAGATCTTACTCTGTTGAATAGAAACATGATTCCCTGCTTGGTACCAATTTGCCCATAGGAAAAAACACAAAATGTGTCGACTTTCTCTGTTCAGATTTTGCCAGTAGCCTTGATGTCTCTTCAGGCTCTCCAGGTGGGAGGGGAGATAACCCTTTTCTCTTAGCCATTCTGTAAGCTGTTCGTACCTTGCTGATCACCTATGTGGGACTTGTAATTTATCGATATCCTTCTTAAAATAAAATGAGAATAATGCGCTGGCATGGCCGTGCTAGCATCAGGACTGGTGCAACTATATAAATAAATCGTGATTTTCCACTTACATACCCACAACCTAAAAATTCACTTGATGTTAAAACAACTTTCCCATATACCTGACTTTATGGTCAATATAACTTGCAGTCAACAAAAATCTTCTGGTAAAATGATATCCCAAGCCCTTTTCAAGGCTGCATATTCCTTCTCAATTCCATCATTCTTTCCATTCTTGATATGACCCTCCTCTCCATGGGTGACCTTACATCGCTGGACTTGAGAGAGAGGTGTGGTGAGAACTGAACTAACAGTGCACTGTGTAGGAAAGACAAAAGGATCAGGCAGTGGCAGGTTCTAGGTGTGTGTGTGTGGGGGGGGATATAGAGATCTAGAGCCCTCCCTGGTAGCACAACGGCTTAAAGCACAGTTCTATGAAGCTATCCACATGAGTTCAATCCCTGCCAGGGTAGCGACCCACATGACATGGCAGACCTCTCCTGATCTACCCACTGCTCCCTCAGCAGTGTATTTCTGTGGATCCGCCTGTTCCGCTCCCCACTCTGTTTCTGTGGGTTCCCTCAACCCCTACCCCTCTGGCTTGTATGCATAAGTAAATAAATCCCTGCTGGCGCAATGAGTTACAGTGCAGCACTATGAGGCTCTCTGCAGCCACTGCAGTACAAGTTCGATCTCTGGCCAGGGAGGTGACTCACATGGTGTGGCAGGCTTCTTTTGTCTTACCTGCTGCTCATTTCAGCAGTGTGTTTCAATCTGCCTGTTCTGTTCCTTGCTCTGTCTCTGGTGAATCCTCTCACCCACCACATTGCACTTCTGGCCTGTACCCCAGTTCTTGTATGCATAAATAAACCTTGAAAAAAAATTAGAAGTCCAGTTCTGTGATGTCCTGGTTGACAGTTCTAATTTGAAGAACTGGACACACACTTTTTTTAAACTCTGCCATACAGCATGAACCACAATCACATTCTCATTTCCTTTACTATAACCACAGATGGATTTTATAAAGACTAGGTGGGCAAAAAAGGAAAATAAGTACAGAAAATTACAATAGCAATAAAAACTATCGGATATCCAAAATGCAATGTGGTGTTGAGAAGCTAACCTCTTCTGTCCATGGACTCTCTCCCCTCACCACAGGTGAGTCTGACGCTGACAGCCAAGCGCATGGCACACAAGAACTGCCTGGTGAAGAACCTGGAGGCGGTGGAGACACTGGGCTCCACGTCTACCATCTGCTCGGACAAGACGGGCACCCTCACCCAGAACCGCATGACTGTCGCCAACTTGTGGTTCGACAAGACCATTTATGAGGCCGACACCACTGAAGATCAGTCCAGTAATTACTGGCACTTGTGGGCCGAGAGCAGGAGTGGGGATGTCTTGAGTGACCTGAGCGAGTGTGAAGGGTCCAGTCAAGGAGAAGGTCCTGGAATGTATGTGGAGAGAAGGGAGGTGTGGGGACAGACATGCTGGCTCTGAAGGGAGGCATTGGGTGGCAGAACAAGACAGGAATGGGAAGCACTTCTGTTCTGCTCCCTCCCACCCCCAGTAAAGTCTTGTCTTCCTCCCCAGGGGACACATTTCCCAAGAACTCTGCTACCTGGTTTATCCTGGCCCGAATTGCTGGTCTCTGCAACAGGACGGACTTCAAGGCACATCAGGAGTCAGTCCCCATAGCTAAGGTGCGAGACCCAGGGGAGCAGCAGGCCATTCAAGCCAGGGTATAACCGTCCCTCTCCCCCAAACTCTCTTTCCTGGCTCTCTGTGGTTTCCCTGGGACCCCTCCCACATCCTGCTCCCTCCTTCCTTGTCACCGTGGGCAAGTCCGATGCCACAGATCTGATTCTCAGGCTCACGTGTGTGAGCTCATCCCCACTCATGCCGGCAGAGGGAGACAACAGGTGACGCTTCCGAGTCTGCCCTCCTCAAGTTCATCGAGCAATCCTACAGCTCTGTGAAGGAGATGAGAGAGAAGAGCCCCAAAGTAGCAGAGATCCCCTTCAACTCCACCAACAAGTACCAGGTACGGAACCCACAGCATTAGGAGAGATGGTGGGGCAGATTCTTCGCCGGGCCTCCGGGAGCTGCCCAGCCTGCGGTGTCTGAGTCAGAGAACACCAGCCAAGAGTGAGGCTCACCTCAACAGAGGTGACCCACAGGTGGTGTGGAGGGGCGCTCAGGAGGCAGTACAGAGAGCCCTGACTCTCTGGGGGCTTTCCCTGGGGAGACAGCAGGCCTCAGAGTGCTATGTGGAGTGTGTGTGGTGCGGTTGGTCCTGTTGCCAGCTTCTGGGAGCTTATCCCTGAATGCTAGAGATTCTCCACAGAATTCGGTAGATTTGCAAGAATGAAGAATTATATTGGCCCTTGAAGGTATTTCAGTGAAATGCAGTAAGGATTGGGAAGGTGGTTAGGCCACAAATTGGGTCTCGCGGATGAAGAACACGTCTCAGAGTCGTCCTCTCATCAGTCAGCAGCTTCCCCCTCCCTCCCAGGCCTGCACTTCTGACAGTCGCCCTTCGCCCTTCGGTGGGCCTTGGGGTCTGCATGGGGGAAGGAGAGCTGCTGAGTCAGGGGAGAGCTTTATGAGAGGGACAGGAAAGCCATCATTTCCTCCCAGTAAGGACCCTGAGCCTTAGGAAGAGGGGCAGGTGGAGTGTTCCTGTTACAGGGTAGCCCGGAGTGAACTGGGCCGCCTGTCTGGGGGGTCCTACCTGCGCGCTCACAATTCAGTTACACCGCAGGCACACACAAAAGGGTCAATAACAGGTTTATTTACAAAAGGGGAAAGGAATAAGAAACAACCCAGGGAATGAGAGCGGGATACAAAGTAAGTGGAATACCTTACGGCTAGGCTGACTGAACGCACCAAGTCACACCAAGTCACGCGATCTGGAGAGCCGTTTCCCGAGCGAGCGAGTGAGCCAAAGCTAGCGAGAGAGCGCGAGATGCAATCACGTCCCTATTTATCCCCCAAATGTCCCAGAATTCCTTCCTGTTGGCTCCGCCCTTGGGTCCTTGCAGTTCTCTCCCTGGTACTGCTGGGAGTTGTAGTTTCCAATCACTGCAGTAGGGGATAGTGTCCAGAAAGCTGGAGTAGGGGGTGGAGGCCACAAGACTCTGCAGAGTTCCTTTAGGACCCTTTAGGACATCCTTCCCCTTAATATTCCCAGGCCTGGGGCTCTCCCAGCCAGGGTCTGAGTTCTCTGAGTGTCCCCATTTGCTCAGGGCTAAAATTCTCTGAGCTCATGTGCTCCCATAAAAATCAGACATACGGGGGCCCTTGCTGGTGGCGCAGCGGGTTAAAGCACAGCACCAAGAAGCTAAAGTCACTTCAATATGAGTTTGATCCCCGCTCCAGAGGTGACCCACATGGCGCAGCAGACCTCTCCTGACCCGCCCGCTGCTCAGCAGTGTGCTTCCCCGATCTGCCTGTTCTGCACTCCGCTCTGTCTCTGGTGAAGCCTCTCACTGCCCCTACACCTCTGGCTTGTACCCCAGTTCTGTATGAATAAATAAATAAATCTTTAAAAAAAATCGGACATTCGGAAATTGCTAACAGAGAAGGAATGTGACAGGCTCCCAAAACTCGATTTTGGTTTTCAAAAACACCTAACAGTGCTCATTTGGCTGTTCACAGACTGAACCTGGAGCAACCGAGATTAATGTAACCCCCAGAGAGGACGACACAGATTCAGGACACACCCCCGATTTTTATATTGGAAAGTTGCAAAGAGAGTAACTGAAGGCTTGCCTGTTAAGAAACTTAAAAAGCTTTCATCACAAGGAAAAGATAACATGTAACTACAATTAAAACCACATATAAAGGAAGAAAAGCTATAGCGATTTTGTAAAAACTGAATGACCTCTATTTTCATATTGAACACTGAGCCAGTTAAGAATTAGGGAAACAGATGTGTGGGTTTTTTTTGTCTGGGCTGGACTTTAGTCAATGTGAAGATCGGTCTCCAAAGTCCAAACTGCAAACTCCTTCCCACTTTTTTCTGACCTTAGTATCCTCACTAGACAGAAAGGAATTCTGTGTTGGCAGGAATCTGTTAAAGTTTTGGGCTGGAAAGAATACGTGTCTCCCCTCCATGCAAGTCAGAAGAAAAGCCAAATACCCATGACTTTTGTTGGGAAACCCAACAGAGTAACAACTTTGTCCTCCCAGCTTGGGGCTGAGATTGCTGGAGGGAGGATCCCAGAAACCCCCTGCGCTGCTTTCAGCCCTCCAACAGTGTTGCTGCCTGGAAAGCACTGGACTCTGCATGGGTCAGATTTGACTGCAAGAAGGGTCGTGTTGGGGTCAGGAGACCCAGAAAAGGGGCGTGAAACAGCGTGCCTGTTGTTTGTACCCTCCAGTTTTGTTTTGTTTTTATGAGTACAGAACTGGGGTACAGGCCAGAAGAGCAGGGAAAGTGAGATGATTCACCACAGTCAGAGTGGGGAGCAGAACAGGCAGATCGGTGAAGCACACTGCTGAGGGGAGCAGCGGGTGGGTCAGGAGAGATCTGCCGTGCCATATGGGTCACCTCTGGGGTGGGGACTGAACTCGTACCCAAGCTGGCTGCTGGCCGTGGCCAGCTTCACAATGCTGCACTTTAACCACTGCGCCACCAAGGAAGGCCCCGCACCCCCTAGTTTTTACTGTCCCATGCCATGCTCTCTCCTGCTCTGTCACTGCTTCCTCTCCTCCTCCAGTTATCCATCCACCTTCGGGAGGACAGCTCCCAGGCCCATGTCTTGATGATGAAGGGGGCTCCGGAGAGGATCTTGGAGTTCTGCACCAGTTACCTTCTGCATGGGCAGGAGTACCCAATGGATGACGAAATGAAGGAAGACTTCCAAAATGCATACTTGCACCTGGGCGGCCTGGGCCAGCGTGTCCTAGGTAAGGGGCTGGGGAAGTGGCATCAAGTGGTGGTTACTTGTGGGGTCAAATGTGAAAAGTTTAGGATTGGGATGCACAGGATGGGATGTGCTTAGATAGCTAAGTAACCATGACCCCTCTTCTGTGTCCAGGGTTCTGCTTCCTGAATCTGCCCAACACTTTCTGTAAGGGATTCCAGTTCAACACAGATGCAATCAACTTTCCCATGAACAACCTCTGTTTTGTGGGGCTCATATCCATGATTGACCCTCCCCGAGCTGCAGTGCCTGAAGCTGTGCGCAAGTGTCGCAGCGCAGGGATTAAGGTAAACAGCTGGCGGTCCCAGGGCCCCCTCCACTGTCAACAGTGGAGTCCCGGTAGGAAGGCTTGCACAGATTAGGTGCTTAATCATCTTGGCTTAATCTATTTCTGCTTCCTTGAGTCTATCACTTTTAGTCTTAAGACTAAAATAGGTTTATTCATAAGTTCCCTCTGAGGTTAGTATCCTGTCTTGCATTGAACATTAGCAACACCAGGCAGCTTTAAACCGGATGCCTAGGCCACACCCCAGAACTATAAATGAGAAACCATCAGGGTGAGGCATTTTTAAAGCTTTCCTAGAGATGTCACGGTACTAGGAGTGCTTCTCAAACTGAAGTACTTGGAAGTACTCAGGGACTTTGTCGGAATGCAAGTCCTGATTCAGTAGCCCCGACACAGCCTAGCTACCCGGCCTCCAGTGTTCCAGCTGCTGCCGGGGTGCTGAGCGTGCCAGGACCAGTGGTGAGCAGAAGGGGTAGAAGACGCTATGTCTATGTCTAAGTGCATCTGGGAAGGTGTGAGGGGGAGGGCCCAGTGGGCTGGGGTCTGGAGCAGGAGAGTAAGATGAACTGCTGAGAGCTGGCCCTCAATGGATAAGACTCAGTGAGCAGCTGCCCACAGATACATGTCCTGGAGCAAACGCAAGAAGCCAAAGCGTGTGGTTGAAAAGCACAACACAGCTGCAGAACGAACCCTAGGTGGGGACTCCCCTGGGGGTGGGTGGACCTTGGACTTCCTAGGATGACAGCTGCAGACATCCCCTCATTTTGAGAAGTTCTGTATCCCATTTTTCCCAGATCAAAACCTAAGATTTGATTTTCATAGATCAGATATTGATACAGCTTCCCACACACACATAATGTTCTTGGATTTGGTGGACTCTGGCTAGGGGTGGAGGGTGCATTGGAGGCATTTCATGAGAACTAGATGCTCGGTTAGAACTAGGCAAACTTCTCCCTAAGTTCAATAGCCAGTCAGGAAGCAGGATGTAGGGCATCGTTCCCAGCGAATTCCCTAATGACCTTGAGATATTTGGGGAGAGTCACACTATAACACTTCCACAGGGTAGCAGGGTTGTCTGGGACCCCCGGATGGTTCTGGGAACTCCCTCATCATATTGTGAAGAAAGAGGTTGACCTGAATTTTCTGTGAGGTTGACCCATCAGGATGAGGAATAGCATATGGGTGTGTGCTGCCCACTGGGAATTCTCAACTGAGAAATGATGGGCCCCGTTAACAAGATGGGCCTGTGGGTGGGGACACCCAGACGGGGACACAGGTGGCACAGGCCAGGAGCCTACAGATCAGGGTACAGTGACTGAGCAGAGCGGCCCAGGTTATCTGAGACAATCCTCAGTAGCCTGAGCAGGTCGCTGGAACAGGAGGAGGTTTCTGGGCTAGACCTTGTTCCAGGCACAGGTTCATGGGTTTCACAATAAGTTCTTATTCCTTCTGAAACTTCAACTGACAGAAATCTGGCAGAGCTGCTGATTTTGAATCACTCCTGTCTTCTCTGTAGAGAAGATGTCATGCATCAAGGGGACGGAATGGGGTGTGGACATACAGTGTCCCGTAGGGCAGGTCCTTCCAGAGTCGCCTCCATAGTAATGCTGAGAAAGAATGGATAGATGTCACCAGGAAATGAAGTGGGGAGGAGGGGTGGCCAGGTAGAACCCATGCTCAGGCCTTTGGAATAAGTGTATTTTAGAAATTAAAACACAATAATCCCACTATATTTGCTACTTGTGGGCCTCCCTGGTGGTACAAGGGTTAAGACTCAGCACTATAAGCTGTTGGCACCACTGCAGCATGAGTTCCATCCCCAACCAGGAAGCAGACCCACACTGCGCAGCAGACCTCTTCGGTCTCCCCACAGCTGTGTATTTCAGTAGATCGCCCTATTCTGTCCCCACTCTGTCTTCAGTGAATCCTCTCACCCCCGCCCCCACATCTCTGGCCTATACCCCAGCTCTTAGATTAGATAGATAGATAGATAGATAGATAGATAGATAGATAGATAGATAGATAGATAGATAGATAGACAGACAGACAGACAGACAGACAAATAAATCTTTAAAAATATATATTTTAGCTAGGCCTGTGCTATGACCTATTTGCTCCAGGAGCTGCAGCCCTGCAGCAGCTCACAGCCACATCACACCGCTGGGTGTTTCTCTCACAGGGCTGACCTGGGGGATGAGGGCTCAAAGTCACAAGGGGATAGCTTGCAGGGCTGCATGAGAATGTCAGAAGCAGAGTCAGCACCAAGAAGTTGAAAATGAAATTCCTTTAGTACTTGGCAAATTCCAGAAACTGCTAGATGCCCTTTACCTCAAAGGGAGTCATTCTCTGCAGAACTGGCTCCCATTGTACGGATGCAGCGCAGGGTGCTAAGCTGGAGTCCCAGAGCTCACTCTCGGGGTGATGGGCTGTGCTGTATTTCTCTAGCTTGGTGTGAAGGTGGCACTGCCAGAAACTAGCATGGAACGTTTGGGGTCATGCAGGCTAAGACCTGGAGTGGGTCAGTTCTCCCCAGAGCCTCACCACCCCCCATGCCTTCCAGGCCCAAATCAAGAAAGGCCCACACCCCACATGCACCAGGCAACTGGTGTTCATGGACACTGGCGTGATTCCCGAATCATGGCTTTGTCAGGCCCCGTTGTGGGGCCGAGGCTCAAGCTCCTTCAGGCTCTGAAAGAGAACACATTGGTCTTCCCAGGGCCTGCTCCCAAGCACTCAGATGGTGCAGTCAGTCAGGCAGTCTCCTCCTACCTCCAGTCAGAGCCAAAAAATCTGCTTGAGGGCACCAGGGAAGGTGGACACGGCTCTGGCAAGTGACCATCCCCACATTCGATTGTTGCTTGTTGAGGAATTGCTATGTGCTGGACAGGAAAATGAACAAAGGGTCCAGACTCAGCCTCACTCTGCACAGCCCTGGGGCCCTGGGGGGACAGACAAGCCCTCACCAGATATGTGGGAAGTACTGGGAGGAAAGGAAGAAATGCGGACACGTCAGGAAAGTGCAGAGCACGGGCCCAGCCTTGGGGTGGGAACAGCTAGAACCAGGGCTAGAACCACGTATCCAAGAAGAGATGGGAACCCAGAGATGGGGAGTGGCGGGTGCACAGGAGGAAGAGGATGGGTGGAACGAAGACCCGTATGTACCAAACTAGGTGATGCTTTGCTAGGCAGATGGATCATTCCAGATGTTCCTTCATTACCACCTGCTCTATGTGTAGGTGTTTCTGTCTTTTCATTTAATGAAGCACAATTGCTTCTGGGGCAATTAAATTCTGAATATAGTAATACACCCAAATTCCTGACTTATTCCTGGGAAAACTAGAACTGAAGTTGTCCTCATACACTCCCAAGAGTTGACACCACAGCAGTAAGATTTTGATCTACAGGACATGTTGTTGGGAATGAGTTACCGCCCCTCACTGTGGGATGAAAGCAGAGCTCTGTTCGTTCTTGAAGGGTCCAGGACTTCTCCAAAGATAACTCTGCCCCTCTTCCCCGTCCTCTCAATTAGGTGATTATGGTAACAGGGGACCATCCCATTACAGCCAAGGCCATTGCCAAGGGTGTGGGCATCATCTCAGAAGGCACCATGACGGCAGACTCCATTGCAGCACAGCTCAACGTCCCGGTCCAGGAGGTCGACAGGAGGTGACGTGCACTCAGACCTGCCTTTCCCCTACTCTTTGACTTAGCCAACCAGGTGCTGCTTAGGGAAGTCCTTGGGGCCTCCAGAAGGCAGGGAGTCAGGGCCTACTTGCAGCAAAGCAAAACATGTAAGAAAGTGGCTAAGTCAGCTGTAGTGCGAGGGGCTTTCAGAGGAAGAAGAAATAAAGGCAATGAGAGGAGGAGGCCCGGTCCCTGGGGAAGGGGGCAGGGGACAGTAAGGCCCCTTGGTTGCTCCAGTACAGTTGGCTGGCAGCAGGGCCTGTGAGGTCTCCACACTTCCAATGAGCCTTTTGAATTCTCTCCCTGAAGTAAGGTCTCTGCCATTGTGATACACGGCTCAGAGTTAAGGGACATGAACTTGGAGCAGCTGGACGAGATCCTCCGGAACTACACGGAGATCGTGTTCGCGCGGACGTCCCCACAGCAGAAGCTCATCATCGTGGAGGGCTGCCAGCGGCAGGTGAGTGGACCAGGAGCCCTGAGGACTCTGGCAGGAGTCCCAAAGCATGCAGAAGGGTGTACTTGCCAGTCTCAGGGGGCTCCAGAGAGTGTGTCTGTTCACTCCTAAGGTGGGCATCAGCGTGGTCTCACAAGCCTTGGTATCTCAGGAAGACTGGGAGAAGGAAGACAGAAAGCTAAATCTCACGTGATTGCATCACGAACCAGGGTTCGTGGGGTGGAGCTGCTCTTTGGGATGGGTCTGCATCTGATATGGTGTTTCGCCCCTCTGGCTTCTCCCAGGGAGCCATCGTGGCGGTGACCGGAGACGGCGTGAACGACTCCCCGGCGCTGAAGAAGGCTGACATCGGCATTGCCATGGGCATCGCGGGCTCTGACGTCTCCAAGCAGGCGGCCGACATGATCCTACTGGACGACAACTTTGCCTCCATTGTCACTGGCGTGGAGGAGGGTGAGGAGGGGCAGAGGGTGGGTTTGGATCATCAGACTCAGGTGGGGCTTGTGTAGTGCTCCCATTCCCTTAGGCCACCATCCAATCTGCATGAGTCTCTACAGACTGGAAAAGAATCCCTGTAAGGGGCCTCCCCAGTGGCAGAAGGGGTTAAGTCTCAGCACTATGAAGCTATCCGCAGTCACCACAGCATGAGTTCAATCCCCAATGAGGGAGCTACCCACATGGCACAGCAGATCTCTCCTGTCTCGCCAGTTGCTCCCCTCAGCAGTGTATATAACAGGATCTGCCTGTTCTGCTCCCCACTCTGTCTCTGGTGAATCCTCTCACTGCCAGCCCTCCCCCCCCTCCACCTCTGGCCTACACCCCAGCTCTTGTATGAATAAATAAAATAAATCTTTTTTAAAAAACACTGTAAGGGCCCTCCCTGTTGGCCTAATGGGTTAGGATGCGGCACTGCAAGCTGGCCGCAGCCGCTTCAGTGCAAGTTTGATCCCTGCCCCGGAGGTGACCCACATGGCACAGCAGACCTCTCCTGACCCACCCACTGCTCCCCTCAGCAATGTACTTCATCATCCTGTCTGTTCCTCTCCCCACTCTGTCTCTGGTGAAGCCTCTCACCGACCCTGCACCTCTGACTTGTACCCCAGTTCTGTATGAATAAATAAACCTGAAAAAAAAGCACTGTAAGACAAAACTGTGCAAATTAGATTCAGCTGGCACTTAAGACTATTAGCACTGCTGGTTGCTGCTTGGTTAAGGGGCTGTGACTCTGGATAGCATGGTATCATCTTTCTCCCTCTTGGGAATTCCAGTGTGTGAAGAAAGTCCAAGTTGTAGCCACCCCCTTGGGTACCCACAGTCTCAGGAGGCCACTGGGAAGCTCCTGCCTGAATAACTATACCCACAGCAGCTGGCGCCTGCTCTAGGGACTGACCAAATTAAGCCTTTTTCCTAAAGAATTCTGAAGACAACATCACACAGAATCCTGCACCAGGCTCCCTGCTGTCTGCTTGGAGCTGTCGCACTAAAAACCTTGACAGTCCACATAATACTAATAGCTCCTATGCAAAGAGACCTTGTGTGGTCTTGACACTTACTCAGTTTTTGGTATCCACTCAATTCAACGAATTTTTTTGAACACCAATTGTGTGCTCAGGCACCTATCCCAGATGCTGTGAATACACTATAGAATAAAGACGCAGAGCCTGTAATTTAATTCCTAGTGGAGGGAGACAGACAATAAAGCAAATCTTGTAGTAGATTAAAAGAAGTTAAGCACCATGGGAAAGAAACAAAGCAGGGAGAGCAGAAGGGTTACAGTTTTCTGAAGGGCCCTCAGGGAAGGACTCAGCCTCCTGTAAGGAGGAAGCAACAGAGAGCAGAGTTGAGGGCGCCCCAGGCACAAACTCCACGTGGACACTTTCCACTTCTGCCTGATCTCCTAGCAGCTTTATATTAGCATTCTCAGATAGCTGTGAGTACTAGCCAGGCCCAACCCTGCTTAATTTTCAGAGATCAGATGACATTGGCCATGTTGAATCCAAGAACAAAGAGTACACAGTTAAGGCATGCTAATAAGCCAGAGCTCTAATTAGTATTCACACGATATAGAGGCAGAACCGAGACCGCCAGGGTCTGGGAACCCCAGACCTTTCTTTGACGGTGACAGTGTGTGGTAGCGTCTGGGAGCTGCTTTGTGGCGGGTATGCCCTCTCTGTTCCTCACATAACACTGCTGTCCTCCCCAGGCCGCCTCATCTTTGACAACCTGAAGAAGTCCATCGCATACACGCTGACCAGCAATATCCCCGAGATCACCCCCTTCTTGCTCTTCGTAATCCTCAGCATCCCCCTGCCTCTGGGCACCATAACCATCCTCTGCATTGACCTGGGCACAGACATGGTGAGGCCCAAACGGGGACCCAGTCTGAGAGCCTGGAAGATGATGGAGGAGCAGGCACAGTCGGCGTGAGGGAGGGGCTGAGTGTCCTTCTGAACTCTGTGTCCCCCACATGCCCACCTTCCAGGTCCCTGCCATCTCCTTGGCTTATGAGTCAGCTGAGAGTGACATCATGAAGAGGTGTCCCCGGAACCCCACATGTGATAACCTAGTGAACAACCGTCTCATCGGCATGGCCTACGGACAGATAGGTGCGGTCCGCGGGGTGGGGTGGGGTGGACAGACTGCTCCCGTGAGGTACTGGAGCCAGATCTGGGGAGAAGTTACCATCAGGTGGCTAGTTCCCAGGACCACAAGGAACCACTCGTCTTGCCTCTGCCCTTAAGAGTCCAGTCAAGACAGAATAAACATTCATGCAATGGCAGCCCCTTCCCAGGTGCAGATCAAGAGTGTGAATAGGCCCTCCCGCCCCCCGCAGGGGCACATAGCGGAAGGCTGTCCATGCACAAGAGTGGTCAGCGAGGCCTCTGGAGGACACAGGACCAAAGCTAGTTGCTGGAGGACATGCCTCAGGGGACAGAGTGCAGAAGACAGGGCAGCTCCCAGGCCTCATTGTTGAAAAGTGAATCAGTCCAGAGTGGGGCTATATTCCTGATGAAGCAGCAGTGGAAAGTGGGGCGCTGGGCATAAATAGCGTTTCCCTGGGTCCAGCCTTGAATGCCATTGAGAGCCATTAGGAGCTATTGTTCTTGAGTTGCCAGGTGCAATGGGTATTTCCAGCATTAGATGAAGGATGGACAAGGAGGAACCTGGGGCAGGGGAGACTAACACCCCAACATCTAGCAGAGGGAGCTGGTGGGACAGGCATGTTTGAGAGCCAGACCTGGCTTTGAATCCTGGTCTCTCCACTGCTCCCTGTACGACCCTGGTGCTGCCAGAATATTCATTCTTATCTTCCCACTTGGGAAACACCGTATTGTGAGGCTCCTGGGCCTCGGCAGGGTGCATGGCTCTGCAGGTAACATGCAGAAAGTCAACTGTCACCATGATCCACGCAAGGGGTCAGAGGCTTTGACTAAGGGGCACGTGGGGGAGAGGTGCGTTGAGAACGGGGACTTGACAAGCTTCTAACGTCAGAGCAAGGACACTGAGTCATGCGTGTCACTCAGTGGGAGAGGGAAGGAACCCCTCCAAGGCCCTTCAGGCTGTAAGAGTCCAGAGAATCCTCAAAGAGGATGCTCTGGGTTAGAGTTCAGAAACAAATGTCAGGGGAGAGGGGATGGGTCCCTGAAGGCAGGCACCCTCAGCACTGCTGCTCACACGCCAGCTGGTGAGAAGCGAGTCCCGGCCACCGCCCCATCTACCATCTGCCTCTGTGACACCCTTCTCTGAACCGGTTCCCTATTCTGTGACTCCCACACTCCCAGGGGTGATCCAGGCACTGGCTGGATTCTTCACCTACTTTGTGATCCTGGCTGAAAATGGTTTTAAGCCCTTTGATCTTCTGGGCATCCGTCTGGACTGGGAAAATCGGTACTTGGGTGACCTGGAGGACAGCTACGGACAGCAGTGGGTGAGTGGGTCAGAGCAGTGAGAGCGGCTGAAAGAAGACATGGCAGGGCAGAGGGGTTAGTCCGAGTTTGAAGAGGGAGAGAAAGGAGGCCCCAGCCCCACGCGCTCACTCTTTGCCTCCTTCAATGTTTGCCCTGTCTCCAATCACCAGCAGGTATTCTTCTCTCTATTTGCCACGACTTCACTGCTGTTCCTTCCTGCTGTCTGGTGTCTGACCTTTCCTTTCTAGATCTTTTTTGCCCCCCCCCCAAACCTGAAGTCTTCTTTGTCCATCCACTTTTGAGGGCTTCTTTCTGCTTTACCAGGTTCCAACCATCATTGCCTCCAAGACCAAGAGCTGGGTCCTCTCCTCTGTGACATGGCCTCCCTCCATGGAATTTTAAGTCTGGAAGTCTGTTTTCTTCATTGATCCTTTCCTCACTCTAAACTCTTTAAACGTAGAGAATTCCTCTCTATAGTAGTCTCTCCTAATACCCAAGAGGAATGAGGCCCAAAGTTCTCTGACCAAACCAGGTGTTCAAGAATTTTAGCAAGTAGGCTTTTTTTTGTGTGTGTGTATCTATGAACATTCCCATCTGCATTTCTTGGACAGTGAGAGAGGTGATACCAACTACTGCTGGAATGGAGGACACCTTACCCCTTATCACCCTATACCTGAGGAAACTGACTGGATTTAGTGACCTGCTTAGTCCCACCATGGATCCCTAGAAGAGCTGAATGAGGATTCTTAGATTCCTGCCCAGCTCTTTCCCTCTCACCAAAAACAAGCTAAGCGCAAATTTGCAAAACATGTTAAAACAAGGTTGTTGGAAAGATACCCCCCAAACACACTTGGTTCCACTGGCTAAGACTCATGCATCCAGCAGACACCACTGTCCCTGGCCACCAACATCACTTCAGCCCAGTGGAGCCCACCATCTTGGTCATCTTGCAGTCTGTCAACACATCAGTCGTCAAAACTCAAGCCCTTATTAGAGTCACGTCTGATTCCATCTCCCTGCTGTCAAGAAGCAGTTGACACACTTATTTATAAATGAATTCATAATATGAACATAAATATAAAATTAACTTGAAGTAACAAGAACTCCCCCTTCTACCAAAGACATCTTAGGGTATACAAACTGCTTGTGCACTGCCGACCCCATGCCGTGTGGTTTGATATGCAGTCTCTCCTTGGTCAGTGATACATTATTTTCAAATTCCTTATTCAATCTACAAGTCATTTATTTATAAACCTGCCCTTCTATGTTTTAAAGCATGGATATTTTCCCTCGAGTGTCATGTGCCTGTGTTCTCACAGTCGTTGTCTTCCCAGAGCCCTTGGGGTCTCTCGCTGTGCTCCCCCTCTCAGATCTCCTGGCATCTGTTTCAGTGATGCTCAGTGTAGCTGTACAAAGGCACACATGGCTCAGAGCTGAAGAAATCATAAAAATAGCCTCATCTATGCACAGCTGAGCCTGGCATATGAATGCAAATATATTACCATGCGTTTATGAGCAAGTAGGCCACGGAAGTTTTTCTTATCTGGTACCTTGTTATGTTCAAGGCCCCACAAGACTGACATAATTCACAGTATCCCTCCTAGATGCTCCGAATGATCTTATGTGAATGGATGGATGGATGGATGGATGGATGGATGGATGGATGGATGGATGGATGGATGGATGTGAGATGCTTTCTGGATGCCCCTCTGGCTCTCCTCCCGCCTGCATGCACATTTGGTCCCTGTCTTCCTGACAATTTCTTTCCCCTGCTTTCCTCTCCAAGCCCACCTTCCCCACACCACTCTTCTTAGCACTTTAACAACTATGCATTGAGTCCTACTGCATGTATTTAATGAATGAAGCACAGGAGGGAGCTGCAAAGATAAGCAAGAGGAGGTCCTTGCCTGAAGGAGCTTCAAACAGGTTACACTCAGACAGCAACCTGAAAATGCTGGGGCCGAGGGGATATACTCAGGGATGTGGCAAGGTGCAGAGGACCCTAACTTGGCCTTCAAGGGTGGGGAGCAAGAGAGGGAAGCAGCCTTCAGCAGTAACTAGATCTGCTCTGTCACCAACATCCCCTGCCCAGACCTATGAACAGCGGAAGGTAGTGGAGTTCACATGCCACACAGCCTTTTTCGTGAGCATCGTGATCGTGCAGTGGGCTGACCTCATCATCTGCAAGACACGCCGCAACTCTGTGTTCCAGCAGGGCATGAAGTGAGCGCTCTTCAACACCCCAACCTCTCCCAGCTTTGCCCCCTTCTTCTTCCCCACCCCATCTCCAAATGCCTTTAACCCTTTCTTCCCAAGAAACAAGGTCTTGCTCTTTGGGCTCCTGGAAGAGACTCTACTGGCTGCTTTGCTGTCCTACACTCCAGGCATGGACAAGGCCCTGCGAATGTACCCGCTCAAGTGAGTAAGGAAGGAGTGTGGGCTGCTGGGTTCCTGGGGGCTCAGGGAGATCAGTGAGGGGAAGGCGAGTTTGACTAGAAAGTCACAGCTGGGGTGTAATGGTGAGACTGCCCTCAGCCATGGACATGGAGGGAGCTTTATCTGTGTGCTTCAACAAGGGTGCCCTATTTAGGGAAGGTTAGGGCTGTGTCTCATGACGTGATGCGACCCGCCAGACACAGAGGTGGCAGACTCCCCAGTGCCCACCAGTGGCTCCCTCTTGATGAGAATGAGGAGTGTAGCTGCTGATTGCTTGGAGCTGAAAACAATCATATAAAATAGCCGCATCTGTATGTGTGTGTGGGTGGGGGGAGGGGAGAGCAAATAGGCGGCCATGTGCCTAAGAGCAAACAGCTACTGAGAATGTTATTGTCTGGCACCTTGATTCAAGTCCCAAGTCTGGTTTTGGTGTCTTTTGTTTTGGTTGGTTTTTCCGTTAGTGTGTGTGTGTGTTGTGAAAAAATAAATCTATTTAAAATGTACAGAGATAAAGCAAAATTCCTACCCCATCTTCGCCATCAGCTTAGCATGCACCCTCCTACGCACACCCGTGGGTACGCACTTCCTCTCCTCTCTCTGCCTCACCGCGTTTTGCATGGTGCTTGGACCAGTGCAGGTGCTCAGTTAACGCTCAATAAGAGACACAGCGCTTGCCTTCAGTACAGACAATCCCAGGTTTGAATTTCCAGTCTCCTGGGGGCTTGGACACGGATATTACATTCTGAGCTCAGGCTCCTGCAGTCCTGGTTGTGCACACCGAGGTGGTGAGCCGAGCAGAGCTCGGTGGGGTGGGGGCTCTGTTGGTAGCGGCTGTGGTTCCTGCTGCGGATGTCAGCATAAAGGACTGGTAAGTGCAGTCGAGCATGAGCTATGCTCCCAGGCCCTCTGTGTATGTCTCCACCACAAAACTCCTCACCTCATATTGAGACTGTTTATTGTGTGTGTTTATGTGTCCTCATTCCCCTGAGCACCTTGAAAACCAAGACCATCTGTCATCGTGTTTATTTCCCCAGGACCTAACACGGCCAGAGTAGACACTGAAGGTTGTTGAGTAGTGACCGTGTGCATGTGTCTGTTGGTGTGTGTGTGACTGTGTGTGTGTCTGTGTGTGTCTGTGTGTGTGTGTGGTGTGTGTGTGGCGCTCATGCATGCGTGCCACGGCTTAGCCCTGTGCCGTCCAGTCTTGTAACTGCTGCTCTTCAGTGGCTGCTGAGTTCTTGAAGTCTGGAGAGTGAGACTGAGGAACTGGATTGCGTATTTTAGTTAAAAAGAAAGACAAAAGTTGTGTCAAATATTATATTCAATACCTTGACGTTTGGGTCAGTCTACATTTCTCTTTAGCTACTGAAATTTACTGTCTGAGTTGAGATGGGCTGTCAGTGTAAACTATTCACTGGCTTTTGAAGGCAGGATTAAAAAGAATGCAAACAATCTCAATCTATCACTTATATGTTGTGATAATAACCTTTTTTAATCAGTTAAATAAATATATTAGTAACATTAATGGCACCTATTGTTGCTTTTTTTGGCTGTTACTTTCTTTAATGTGGCTGCTAACAAAGATTGCTCATTATATATGTCTTGCTCATTATTTACGTCTATGGAGCCACACTGGTGTGAGCCAAGATGGCCTAGACCGTCCCAGGTACAGACGTGGTTCTGAGCCAGCCCCTCTGAGGTCCACCTTCCTGTTCTCAAATTATAGAAGCGTGTTAGGCAGGAAAAACCATTCCCCTCTTTGCAATAAGAGGAGTGTGTCTGTTCTGGCATCCTCCTCTGACCTCTTCTTTGTCGGGGAGAGGCCTTTAGTGCCCAGGGCACAGGTGGGCCCTCTTATCAGCCCCATGAAAGGGGTGCCCTCCGCTGAGCCCTGCAGGTACCCCCACACCACACTTGTCACAGTCTGTTACCACTGCTAACACTGCTTCCATGGCGCTGCCGTGGCCTCTGCCCATGGTCCAGGCTCTGCTGTCCTCCAAGACTGGTTGCCCCCCCACCCCGCTGTCCCTGCACCCAGCACAGCCTGGCACCCAGTGAGCACAATAGGCAACTCTCACCCTGTGCTGCCTCGCACCTGCCCCGCTCCTACCCCCACCCCACAGCTCCTCCCACTGACAGTGCTTGCTCCCTGCAGGATATTCTGGTGGTGCTGCGCGCTCCCTTACAGCATCCTCATCTTCATCTATGACGAAATCAGGAAACTCATCATCCGGACGCATCCCGGCGGTGAGGCCTCCTCCTTCTGCCCCGTGACTCCCCTTGTGCCAGCTGCAGGCTCCCTGCCATCCTGTGACTTCCCCCAGGCTCCCTGCTGCCATCCCAACTGCCTCTGCTACCCCCACACTCCCCTGCGCCTCCTCCCAAGCCCCTTGCCTCTATTCCCCCAGGCCCACCTGTTGCTGCCTCCGCCTGCATCCGTTCACCCTGGCCCCTTCTCTCGGCAGGCTGGCTGGAGATGGAGACCTACTACTAGGTTCAGCGGGGAGAGCCCCATATGACAGGGGGTTCAGGGGCTTGGGGTGATGGGTTTGCTGCTGACAACAGAGACGACGTGTGAGATGGACAGGGCCTACCTTGGACGAGAACCAGCTGCTCTGGGGTGAACTGGGGCGCCAGGGGCCAGCAGTGAAGAGCCAGCGGCTGAGGCCCAGCATGGGGAGGGCTCTGTCTTTTGGGGCAGCCAGTCAGAAGTAAACGTTGAGCAGCTCTCATCTGCCGACGTGTCCATCTGATTCTTGAGCTTGGGATTTCAGTGACATCCCTGCGGGGATTACCACAGGAGCAGGCACGGAGTATCGCTGAGAGGGGCTAGAATCAAGCGGCCTTGTCTCCCACAGGCTCTCACCATCCTGGAATCCATTTTGAGCCTGTGGACAAGTTAAGTCAGGATCAGAGAAATGGAAGGGCAGAGAGGAGTAGAGGGACCCCCACCTCTGATGCTGGTAGGGGGACTCCACCCCCAACCACTTCAGTTTCTCAGATGAGTTTATAGGACCCCAGAACTTTGCGCTATGAGAGATCTTGTTTCATTGCCAGCACGGTCTGCGCTCCAGAGAGGGGACTGACCAGGAGGGACCACGTGATGGGATAGAATACTGACCCAGTGCTCCTTTGGGGAAGGCAAGGTGGTCGCCTTGGCTCTGTCATCTCAGCTCTCTACCCACTTTCTCTGGGGTGGCCATGAAGTGATGGAGGTAGTAGAATCTCCGAATCCTCAACTTAGGCAAAGAGCCAGCCCCCAGGTGCGCTCGTTGCTGTGGGCTGCCCAGGGTAAAGGCCATTCCCGAAGCCTGGTCTGATGGAGGGAGAGTCCCCTTCTCTCCTGCCCACCCTCTGGCTTCTCCGTCCCCCTCACCAGCTGGCTGGCCTGGCTTCAGGCTGAGGGAGGGCTGCGCAGGGTCTGGAAAAGGAGCAGCCTTGGCCAGCTAAGGGAAGGCCACTGCGAGGCAGAGCCAACCACTCCTCCCACACCAGCCCCCCCTCAGAGGTCTCCTGGGGACAGGGCTTCCTCAGTGGGGTCCTTCCCGACTGCTGACAAGGCTGAACCAGACCCTGGAGGATGGAGGGGCCGGGTGTGTGAGAGTGAGGTGGGGAGGGGGGGCTCCTCGGGTTTCAGTCTCAGGAGCCTTGGGTGGCTGGTGGGTTAAAAATACAGAGGCCCCAACTCAGGGTCATTTGATCCCAGTGCCTGAGGCTTGCTAAGCCCAAGGACCCAAAGAAGAGGCCCAGAGCTAGCAAGCGAAGGAGCTAAGAAGAGAATAGAGAGCTTCATGGGGGGGTGGGAGTGGGGGGGCGGAGGGAGATGGTGGGATGAGGCAATAGAAGGAACCAGAGTGCAGGGTGGGCAGGACCCCTGGCAGCTGCAGCAGTGGAGAAGGAAATGGAGCCGGCCTAGCTGCCATGCTGCCCACTTCACCTTCTCGGTACAGATGGTCAGATTCACGCTGGACTAAGTCCAGTGTGCTGATGTCTGCCCAAGAGAGTCCCTGTCCCCCAAAAGTGAGAAATTAGGGCACAGCTCACTGTGGTGGCCTGCCCATCTGCCCTGGGCTGTGAGCACTACCACCCCGAGACCAGGGTGGGCTCCGCGGCCTCCTCAGCCCCAGTAGCCAGCTCTCCTGCTCAGGACAGTGTCCCCAGCGCGGCTGCCTCGTGCTGGAGAGGCGCCACGGCTGACTTCGCCTGAGCTCCGCCCACAGGAGTATGGGAAGTTACTCCTGTAACTTAATCCCATGCCCCCACCCAGGAGCAAATTAAGCACAGTGCCTCCAAATTCAGACCCTGGGGGCGTTGGGGGCTGCTGATGGCCCTCTGTCCACATGGTAAGCGCCCAGCATGGAGGGCAATGGAGAGGTCCTTCCTCTCCTGGGCACCCAGAGCTAAGCTCACCCATCCATCTTCCCAAGGGGTCGAGCCCCCTGACCACTGTCTGGCCCTAGGGAGAGTTCCTGGACCTCCTGGCTTGGGGCACGGGGTGCATCTCTTTGGTCATGTTTCCACAGTCAGTGTATCTTCCCCTGGTGTTTATTTCTGATCCTCTTGGTCTTATCAAAGTCCTGGAAATGAACGGCCGCTACCCACCGGCCTAGGACTCACTCGGCAGAAGTCTCCTCCCTCCTCACTGTCCAGTGGGTCAGAGCAAAGAGCAGGAGGCGGTGGCCTCTGGGCAGAGAACCGAGCCAGCATGTCTGCAGGTGGACGAGGTCCAGCCCTGTCCACACCCTGGGTCAGGAGTGGCGAGTGGGCAAAGGAGACTGGCTGGAGCTGTGCCAGGTGCCTCTGGGATGTGGCCGACTTTCACCCAGAGGATGAGCTCATCTCCCTTGGAGGGAACTGCAGGGCCCCTGCCTGAGGCCTGACTGTGGTTTCCTCGCCCCTCTCCTCCGCAGGACCTGAGACAGACAGCACCTGAGGGAGACAGCTGGGTCTGGGGCAGGGAGTCAGCACACATTTGCCCTCTTTGTCCAATCGCGAGCCAACCCGACAGCGGCCACCCCTCTCTGGCCCTATTTCTTTCTCTCTAAGAGACTCCCTCAGCTCCCTCAACACATAGCCCGCCCTCCCAGCTTCACTTACCTCCGACTCATCTGGCCTTATTTTTAGCGCTGGCTTTTTCCTTTCTTAATATGGCGATGAGTTCTTGGGCAGTGTGGGGACAGGGGCTGAGCAGCCCTGGACACAGGGGCGGGGGTGGGGAAGGCACCTCTGGGATCCTGGGTGAGAGGTGTGGGAGTCGAGAGGCCTGGGGCCTGGCAGAGCTGCTCTGGCCTCAGAAGGTTATCCGTCCCCTCCTGCCAACCCTGAGACATATTTAGACAGGGCCAGGTGGGGCCAAGGGTGCCAGTGTCTGAGGCTCCAGTTCCCTCCCCACCCCTGTCCCCGCCCCAGTCCTCCTCCTGACCCTTTTCCTCTTGGCCCCGTCAAAGGCAGTTCCCCTAAGACCCAGCAGTGCCCTCCAACCACAGCTCTGGGCTGTTCCCCACCCCACCCCCAACTTGAACCCCTACCTCAGGCTTCCGGACCTCGGGACTCTCCCTGGGGCTCCCTGCTGCAGCCCACCCCTCTGGACCAGGAGAGCCACCCAGACCCGAGATCCCGCCACGTGTGCCGCAGGCAGGATGCGGGCCAGGGCCAGGCCGGGGCTGCAGCTGGTGCTGCTAATGCTGCTGGTGCTGGGGACACCCCGGACAGGGGTGCAGGGGGAGGAAGGGCTGGACTTCCCTGCGTACGATGGTGTGGACCGTGTGGTCAATGTCAACGCAAAGAACTACAAGAATATCTTCAAGAAGTATGAGGTGCTGGCACTGCTCTACCACGAGCCGCCCGAGGATGACAAGGCCTCCCAGAGACAGTTTGAGATGGAGGAGCTGATCCTGGAGGTGAGTGGGGTGTTAGGCCTGCAGGCTAGCTGAACCCCCAGACAGATCTTTCTGAAAGCCTGGGGCAAGGAGCAGAGCACGGGACCCATCCCATGGGATGACAGGGCACAGCACCATGTGGCCTTCACTACGTGAGAAAGATCTGGAACCCAAGTGCCACTGGGCTTCCCAATTTCAGGGAGGAGGGGTCAGCAGAGGGGGTCTCTGAGGCTCGCAGTAATAGGTGTGTTCAGGTCTGGAGTGGGCAGAGAAGGAAAAGGGAGGTTCTTCAGGGGAAATAGGATGGAGTGTGTCACACTCCCAGGCCTACTTTTGTAGCAAAACACATTAGGGACCACTTTGCCCAAACTGCATAAACTTATTTGACATTCACACTTATCTGCATGTCTAACAGAGGCCACCTAGCTCCCATCTGCCCCAGGCCCTACCTCTCTCCCTGCATCCTGCTGATACACGGACTGGAAGTTCTGTAGCTGAAGGAGGCTTTAGACACCTCCCCACCTTCACCTGTGAGAAGACCCCTCGGCCCTGAGCTTGCGTCAGGCCCAAGGAGAGGGGTTGTCCGAGTGACTGGGAGACATGGCCACCCCCACCCCAGTAGCATCCTGGTCCAGGCTTGGGCACTCCTTCTCCTGCTGGGGGCACACATGGGCCAGCTTGTTCCGAGTTTGGAGGTTCCGGGGATCTGCGGGAACTGGAACCTGCCCTCAACTAGTGAGCCGAGTATTTTTATCCTGCGTGCTCAGCACCCTTGGCCACCCACCTGCCACCAGCCTTCCTGTCCTGAGACCCAGCCATCTGTCCGTCCGTCCTTCCGTGCCGGGCAGGCAAGGCAGTGAACGCAGCTGGGGGCAGTGACACCGCACAGGAAAAGCTGGGCTGGAGCAAAGGAGGTTCTGCCAGGGGACGAGCAGGGCCCGGTCAGCCTGTCTCTCCCTGGGAGGCCAGCTCTGGCCCTGGTGTTCTCCACTCCCCAGAAATGCCTCCACCACTTCCCTGTCCTCCAAAATTCATGCCACTGGGCTTCGCTTGTTAGATCCCGGGGACCGTAATATTACGCGCCCCCTGAGGACAGCCACGGGGCACAGTGGAGTGCAGGACTGGGCCTGAACAGAACAGAGCAGGGCAGGGCCTGAGCCCTCAGAAGGCAGAGTCTGGATCTCACACACAGTGCCTTGATGTTCATTATTATTCACACCTGCCGGTGAACAATGTTCTGGGATTAAAACTGAATGAATGATTAAAAGCATGGGTTGTAGGGAAAGTAGAGGCCTCCCAACACAGGGTCAAAGGGTCAAGGTCAACTCCCGTCCCCTGCATCCTACGGACCTGCACAGACGCATGAGGTGGAAGCAGGTTACCAAGAACCGCAGAGGGGAGGTTTTAACCCTGGTGCTTTCTCCAGCTGGCGGCCCAAGTCCTAGAAGACAAGGGTATTGGCTTTGGACTCGTGGACTCTGAGAAGGATGCGGCTGTAGCCAAGAAGCTGGGTAAGGGAGGGCTGGGTGGGGGGAGGTGGGGAGCAGTGGCAGGAGTGCTGGGGAGACCTCCCCTCCCTGGAGGACTGAGCTTTGCAGGCTGGGCTAGGCTGGGGACACACGGTGCCTACTAGGAAAGAAGGGAGAAAATACTGAAAGAGGGAGGATTAAGCCTGGGGCCCTGGCCTCACCTTCATTCCTCATAGAGATTCAGGCTCCAAAACCACAAAGAGGTGGGGGTGCCTAAAAACAAGGCTGGGGCAGAGGGGCCTCGGCACCACTGCCCTTCCGCCACTGCCACAGCCACGGCCTCCAGGGGGCAGCACTGGCTGCAAGCAGTCCCGGTGGGGGAGGGGCCAGGATGAAGTCAGCGGTCAGGAATAGCCAAGCCCAGGGCTGCGCTGGAAACTGGCCCTCAGAGGAGGCTACAGGAACACCCGAACATCCAAATGCTAGTCTCAGCTAGTGTCAGCTGTGTCAGGCAGAGCACGAGAAGAACATTCTAGAGCCCGTATCTCCCACGTCCTCCCCTGACACCCTAGCTGATCCAGGGCTCTCCATTGAGGCCTGGGGCCAGGTTAGCCAAAGGGCAGGGTCCAGGCACAGAAAGCAGGGGCTGGGGCAGGGGCCAGGAGGGAGGAGGTGCATGAGAGGGACGGCTCCTGCTGCACACCCTTGGGCCTGAGGGGAAGCTGGGGTCACAGCTCACCTCTGCTCCCCACCCTGCAGGGCTAACGGAAGAGGACAGCATTTATATCTTTAAGGGAGATGAAGTCATCGAGTATGACGGAGAGCTTGCTGCTGACACCCTCGTGGAGTTTCTGCTCGATGTGAGCGTCCCTCAGACCCTGCCGGCTTGTGGCGATTTCATGCCCACCCAGACCTTCCCAGCACGCGCCCCCACTCTTTGGACGCGAGTGCATGTGCCATCAATAGCCCTTCTTCCCTTTCCCAGCCAGCCTCATCCCTGCCGCCCCCCACCCCACCACACCCCCGCCCCCAGCACAGGCTGATGCTCAACCCCTGGCCCCGCCCCAGGTCCTGGAGGACCCAGTGGAGCTGATTGAGGGAGAAAGAGAGCTTCAGGCCTTCGAAAACATCGAGGATGAGATCAAGCTCATCGGTTACTTCAAGAACAAAGACTCAGAGCGTGGGTGGCACTCCTACTGTGATATTCCTCCCTGAACCCCATTTCCCCCCTCCTGCCCCTTCTCATCCAGGGGCTCATTGTTTGAACTCGGTCGTCCCCCATAGCTAGTCCTATTCAAGACTCCACCTCCCTGCACCTGGGGTCTCCAGACAGGCCCTCAGCATCCCACCCTCTCCTATTATGGGGCCTCCAACATTGCATACTCCCCAACTGGCCCCCCAGCATTCTGCGACCCCCATTCAAGACTCCCCACATTCTGTCCTTCCCTCCTGGGGTTCTGTGCCCCTACCACAATGTAACCTCCTCATAGGGTGGAAGAATGGGTCTCAAAACAAATCCATCTTCCAAAAAAGAACTGGGTAGGGAAGGACAGAGGGGGAGGGTTCTCTGCAGACCCTGGTCCCCAGACTGACTCTGCATCCCCACAGATTACAAAGCCTACGAGGACGCCGCAGAGGAGTTCCATCCCTATATCCCCTTCTTCGCCACCTTTGACAGCAAGGTTGTCTGCTTCCCACCTCTCCCTCAGCTTCCTCCAGCCCCTCCTCAGCGTCCATGGGTGTGCCCCCACCATAGCACCCCCCACCCAGTTGCGCAGGTCACCCTGCTGCTAGTTAAGTATCTAACACCCTCCCATTCCACCCCAGCCCAGCCCAGCTAAGACATCTGTGCAGTGTCACGGGCAGTGACGAGGGGCCTGTGCCGCCCCAGTGTCTGCCCCATAGCCCTGCTTCTTACCGTGACCCCCATCCCTGTCCCCACCCCTGCTTCCCAGGGTGGCAAAGAGCAGACCCTGTTAACCCCACAACCCTTGCCCCTCCACTCACTACCCACCAAGGTGGCAAAAAAGTTGACCCTGAAGATGAATGAAATTGACTTCTATGAAGCCTTCATGGATGAGCCGGTGACCATCCCAGACAAGCCCAACAGCGAGGAGGAAATCGTCAGCTTTGTGGAGGAGCACAGGAGGTGGGGGCCCCAGGAGGTGGGAGCAGAGGAGGAGGGGGCCCAGGAGGTGGGGGGCCCAGGAGGTGGGAGCAGAGAAGGTGGGGGTCCCAGGAGATGGGGGTGCCCAGGAGGTGGGAGCAGAGTGGGTGGGGTCCCAGGAGATGGGGGGGCCAGGAGGTGGGGGCCTCAGGAGTTGGGGGCCCTGGGGGGTGGGGCCTCAGGAGGTGGGAGCACAGGTAAGAGCACATAGAAGGCAAGAACACAGGTGGAGGGCCTTCCCTGATGGTGCAACGGGTTAAACCACAGCATTATGAAGCTCTATGAAGCCACTGCAGCACTAGTTTGATCCCAGCCAGGGATCTGACCCACATGGCGCGGCAGACCTCTCCTGTCTCGCCCACTGCTCCCCTCAGCAGTGTATTTCAGTAGATCTGCCTGTTCTGCTCCCCACTCTGTCTCTGGTGAATCCTTTCACCCACCACAACTCTGGCCTGTACCCCAGTTCTGTAAGCATAAAAGAAATTTAAAAAAAAAAAGAACACAGGTGGGAGCCCCGGGAGCGGCGGGCAGCCCGTGAAGGGCTCGCTCCTGGGCGGCCGGGCGGGGAGAGCCCTGGCTGTGGCAGCGGCTGGGCTGCAGTGACACTGGAGCAGCTGGGGCTTGCTCACCCACCGGTGTCCTGAGACACTGCCCACAGGCCGGTGGCCCCGCCGAGATGGAGGGTCACTGACATGTTGGCCCTGGGTGCCTGGGGTTGGCCAAGAACTCAGGTGCTTTCCTGTCTGTCGTCAGCGAATCCTCCCAACACCAGCCAAAGAGGGGCTGCGGGTTGTAAGTGTCCAAACCGTCCCCCTGGGACCCGGCCTGCCCTCTCTCACACATCACCCACACCGTGGTCCTCCACAGAGTGGAGGGAGTGGTGGGGTGGGTAGTTGCAATGTCTGAAGACATTTTCTTGGGGGAGCGCAGTATGCAGTGGGCAGGGGCTGGGTTCCGGCCAGGTGCCTACACAGACCCTGCAGGCCTCAGGCCTCAGTGCACTGATGCCCAGCTGTGCTCAGAACGAAAGGGTGAGGGGGTGAGTGAATGGAGAGTGCACACCCAGTCCGGCTCTCCAGCCCGCTGCCCCCTCGCTGCCACACTGCTGCAGCCACACAGTGGCCTGGGTCAGGTGCCTGGACCCCAGGCGGTTTTTCCTGGGGCTACAAGTGGCCTGTGTCCCGGATGCAACCCCGAAGGGGCCTCTGTGATGGAGCCCCCTGGAGAAGTGCACAACCTTCTCGCCCCGGAGTCGTGACTCTCTGTCTCTTCTAGATCAACCCTGAGGAAGCTGAAGCCTGAGAGTATGTATGAGACCTGGGTGAGTGTCCCTGGACCCGCCGGGTTCTCAGGCAGCAGGGGTGGCTGAGACTCACGTTCTAGAAGCTGCAGAGGAAAGACACTGCCCCACAAAGGTTGAGGCTGTGTCACACCCATTTCCATGAGGATGACAAGGGAGGAGCCCCAAACTCTGGAGCCAAAGGGTTTGCACAGGAGGTGTGGAAGCTCTGGGGGGACACTGAAGCGGCAGTGCCACTTGGAGACAGGTCACCCCAAAGTCATACATTTGACCCAGAAACAATTTCACAAACTTGAGGGCCAAGGAAGACTGGGGGCAGTTTGGGGGGGCCCTTGCTCCCGGAATGTCATGAGGCCTGTCCCCACAGGAGGACGACATGGACGGAATCCACATTGTGGCCTTTGCCGAGGAAGCAGATCCTGGTAAGCAGGGAAGCTGGATGGGGGAGCACTGGTGAGAGGGGAGGGGGGTGTCACCAGACACTGGTGGGGATTTGGGGGAGTTTGCAGGTGCTCCTGGCTAGATGCAGGTTGTGGAGGGGGGTTCTGGCTCCTCTGGGCCTCTCCTCACGCTTGCCATGGTGTCCCCTCTTAGACGGCTACGAGTTCTTAGAGACCCTCAAGGCCGTGGCCCAGGACAACACCGACAACCCTGACCTGAGCATCCTCTGGATCGACCCTGATGACTTCCCTCTGGTGAGAGGCTCGCCCGGCACTGCTGTCCCTGCGCGCAGGGAGGGGCCTGGCTTACCAAGGGGGAGCTGGCTTTGGGGTCTCTACTGGCAGGGCACTGTGGGCAGAAAGGGCACACCGAGACGGAGGAGCAAGGTGCCACCTGAATTGCATGGCGCACACACGCACATTAAGGGCACAGGGAGCTCTGGTGCCCCTTCTAGAGAAATCCAGAGTTTGGGGACGCAGGTGGGCGGGCCTACTAGCCTGAATGTGGGTGCACACAACTAGACATTCAGTGTCTGGGAAATGGCTTTTTTCCTTGCTGCATCCCAACACAGAATAAACACGAAATGCAAGCGACCACTGCCCACTCTAACTGCTTGGGTGAGAGAGCGAAAGCGGGGCCAGGAGAAGACTTGCCCCAAGTCACAGGCCCTCAGTAGCAGACGCCCTCAGAAGAGGGGGTTCCTACCTGGTCTCCTCGGAGAGGAGAGGCAGCGTCCCCAGTTGAGCCCCCTCCCTTTCCTTTCCCTTTGGGATGTTGGCTCGTTAACTACTGTGCAACCCCCAAGCGCTGAGCCCTGCAGCTGGACTGTCACCTCGCTCCTGGCTGACCCCCAGTGCACGCCTGCATGCCACTGAGCTGCTCTGTGGTCTCTCTGCAGCTGGTTCCATATTGGGAGAAAACGTTCGACATCGACCTGTCAGCCCCCCAAATAGGAGTCGTCAATGTCACCGATGTGAGTGTCCTCCCCTCGTCCCTGCTGACCCTAACTCTGCTCCCAGCACGTCCAGCTCTCCACTGCTCCATGCCCTTCCCAGGGGGCCTGGACCTGTCCCATCCAAGGGCTGAGGTGGGGGAAGAGTTTCACCCCAAACCCCAGCCTCCATCTGCTGGAATGCTGCTCACCCTCCAAAGCCCAGCTTAAACCTCATGTCCACGAAGTCCCTCCTGGTCTCCTATTTGGAATCATTCCCTCCCTGGCACCCCGACAGTCCACTGGCACTGAGGACACGACTCTTAATGACTCCACGTAGCATGTCTGTCTGCCTTGTTCTCGATCACATTTTCTGAGGGTAGAGATCAGCACAGCAGGTGCTTCAGAGGTGTTTGTTGAGTTAGACTGAGTAAGTCATAGTCTCTGCTTTCATATAATTCTCAGTGTTAACTGGGGAGACAGGAATTCCATTAACTATAGGGCCTGATCTGATAGACTCGATAATAGAAATACAAATAAAATGTTCACAAGGCGCAGAAGTCAAAGTGATTTCTGCTGGAGGGCAGAGTGCGGTTCCAAGGAGGGGCAGGTTAACGTGGACACCGCACGGAATTCCGCAGGTGAACATGGTGAGAAATCACCTCCAAATTGATGGAAAAGTTGGTGCACACTGTCAAAAGCAGGGAAATGAATATGGGCTTGGGAATAGGCAACTTGTTTGTTATGGCCCGAGTCTCCAGATGTCTGCAGACTGTGCTGGAGGCGGGGGCCCTGAAAGCCCAGACAGAGGGGCCCTGACTTGTCTGTCCAGGCCACAGGAGCCACAGTGGTTTGCTGAGGGACAGGGAGGTCTGCTAGGAAGCTGCTCCTGCAGGCACGGAGGAAGAGGATAGAGGAGGAAGGCCCATTTGCCTGTTCAGTGGCTTTTTCTCCTGCTATCACTATTCCAACCTGACCTTCCCCTGGGCCATTCCCCGACTGCTGGCAGAAGTAGGACAGGAAGATAGGGGATGCGGGAGGATGCACCGGTGGCAACGGCTCACTTCTGTCCTATGCTGCCGTGTCCCAGGCGGACAGCATATGGATGGAGATGGACGATGAGGAGGACCTGCCTTCAGCCGATGAGCTGGAGGACTGGCTGGAGGACGTCCTGGAAGGCGAGATCAACACAGAGGATGACGACGACGACGATGACGACGACTAGCTGCCACAGGGCGTCTCCAGAGCCACCTGCCATCCTCTCACCCCCTTGCTTCCCACCCTGTCTTCAGTTTCTCTGGGGTCCCTGGCTTGTTGTCTGCCACAGGGACCTGTGGGATCCCCCTAGATCCTCCAGCTGTTGAGGGAAGACACCCCTTCCATCACATCGGTCCGGCCACCTCCCAGCAGCTGTTTCCTATTCCCCACGCCCCGCACCTGTGATTTCGTGCCTATCACGCCCCTTGTTCTTTCTGGTGCTTTTCCTCTTGCCTTATCTGTGGACCCATTTCACTTGGATTCCCTCCACCTGTGGCAAACCCTACTGCCCCTCGACTCCCATCCTTCTGACTGCCCTACCTGGAGGGAGGGAGGCCCTATGTTTGGGTCTGTGTCTTGGCAATCTCTCATTAATGTATTTGGGTCAAAAGAGAGGCTTCAATAAAGGATCTGGGGCAGCGTGAGCAAGTGTCTGCGGAGGAGGTCTGCCCCAGGGCGGGAGGGAGCAGCAAGGATGGGGTCTAGATATTCGCACTTGCTCAGGACCACAAGAGGAGGGGTCGGGCTCCCACGGCCACATATGCTGGAGAAGCCTGGATTATTTATCTGCTGCCAGTCAACAAGCCTTTTCTGAACACATGGTGTTTGTCCAGCAGCGCCAGCATGCTCAAGGAGGACAGGCAGTGCTGGGACTGTCCCTGCTATCGGGCTGATTAGCCTCCCTGGAAAGTCAAGGCAAGCACACTAAATGCTTGAAGGAAAACACAAAGCAAAAGGTAAGGAGGTGATGAGTGCCCTTGCAGCTCTTGCACGTGGACTTCAGGAGAGGCCCCAAGAGCACTTCTTCTGGGAACCTCCCAGGCCTCCCACAGCTCCCTCTTCAGGCTCTGCTGTTCCACACACCCCTGCCTTCCGTGTCACTTTGATCCCTTCAATGATGTCTACATTCCCAACGTGGCTCCCCCAGGCTGCGCCCATGAAGGCAGGAACCCAGCCTTTTCTCTGTGTCCCTGGGACTGGGCACACATAAAAGTCCCTAACAGGTGTCTTAAAGGGAGAAACAAATGAACAAAATGCATTCAGGTGAATGTGAGCTTTGATGGTCTCACACGGAAGGGGGCGTTTTCTAGGCCTTATATTAAGAGCCGGAGGTGATGTGTGAGAAGGGAGTAGGGGTGGCTATCCGGATGGGGGAAGGGATATTCTAGTTGGTGAAAACATCAAAAACACAGGCAGGATGAGTCACATTTGGGGTACAGAACAGATCAGAGGGACAAAAGGTCTCAGTTTCCCTGCCAGTTTGGCTCCAGGAAAGGAGCAGGCCCCACCAGGTTGCAGGCTGGTTTGAATTTAATTCAGCTGGAAAAGGCAGGGCGAGGAAGGGAGGGGAGGTGATGGAGGTGCAGAGGGAGGCTGCCCAACTCTTACTGTCAGAGACCATTAGAAAACACAGTGACACTGGGACAGCACTGGCATCATGGAAAGGATAAGAGACATTTAAATGACTGGAGTCACAGCTGGACCCCTGAAGGTGCTCCCAGCAGGAAGGATCAAATTCTCTGCAGCAGGTCTAGGTGGGGGTAAAAATGCAAGAGTTGGAGTTGGAGTGGGGGGAGCAGGCTCCGAATATACCTGAATAAACTGGGATAAGGACCTTGCTGGGAGACCCTGAGGATTTTGAAGTATGGCGGAATGAGACCTGAGGCGAGGAAGTCTTCACCTTCTCCAGACAAACCAGGAGAGGCTCTCTCTAGGAGGGAGGGCGGCATGCAGAGAGCAGAAAGCTGTGTTCCTCCCAGCACACTCTTTAATAGAAGTCGAAGCCAGCACACCCTGGGCAAGTCCCACTGCACGGGCGCTGTCCCGCATAGGTGGAGGAAGTTCCTGATCTGAGCGGCAGCTCCCACTTTTAGCATCATCGGTGCTAGTGCCTGGAGAAACACCTGGAGGAGAGGTATTCGCATCCCAGGGAAAAGGCAAGGACAGGGCTCTGAGGCATAACCTGGCCAGGCAAGTCCGAGGCCCACACTGATTGCCTCTGGAAGACCTGAGAATCTCAGAAATGGGTGAGCAAAATAATTTTCTTACCGACCACCCAGAGCAAAGGCAAATGAGTGCTAGTACCAAAGGGGCCTTGGCCCGGCACAAGGGAAGAGGATGAAGAGCAGAGAGGGGGGCTGTGAAGCCAAAGCAGCAGGTGCCTCTGCCAGGGCAGTGTACACCCAAGGAAAATCAACTCACCCAGGCTTCCTGGGGAGTTTCTGCCAGGCTGGAAAGGAGGTGACGGACGAAGCCAGGCATACCAGAGGTGGACAGGCACTAGTGAGGCTCAGCCCTCTTCCCAGGGCCAGACTCCGCTGGAGACCAGACAAGGCCCCGGGGGAGAAACAGATGCTTCCCCAATCCTTCCTTCCCTCTTTCATTCTGTCTGAGAATCTAGGGAGGAAAGTCCCTGGGGAGGAGGGGAAGTGAGAGCACCCTGCCAGGCCTGGACAGAGGGGCGCAGCTGCAGACACGGCAGTGCGGTTTTGCACGTTGTCTATATTTGCATGCTGAGCTCACTGATGTACTTTTCTCCCCAAGAAAATAAAATTACATCATGGTGTGAGAAGGCAGGAAGGCAGTACATCAGAGCAAGGTGAGAAGTACTGGGACTGGCATCACCCCGAGGACAGGTGAGGGGCTGGGTTCAGGCAAGCGCAGGAGGCCCTGATGTTCGCCCCTCTCTCGCAACGTCCCCGCCATTCGCCCTGCAAGGTGGGGAAGTGTGCCCCCTCCTTTTCCGAACGCTCCCGACCCCTGAGAAGGGAGAGGTTTCCAAACACCAAACCTGCAGCTGAGCGGACCGAGACCAAGACTTCCAAACCTCGAATCTCTTGGTCCCCTCAACCCCCCACCCCACCCCACCCCACTCCACCCCCGTCCCAGCCCAGCGGTCACGGAAAGGTCACAGGCAACGGGGGGCCCCCCCATCTAAAAACTAGTTCCGCGCCCCAGGGCACCGCGGCTCCCCGCGGGCCTCGCGCTGGTCCCTCCCAAGCCTTCCAGAAGCCCCCGCCCCGCCCAGTTCGCCCCTCCCGCCCCTCCCCGGCTCTGACGTTGCGGCCGCGGGCGGGGGGGGTGTTGGGTTCGGCGGAAGCGGCGGCGGGAGGCGGCTCCGGACGCTTCGGACCCGGGACGGCGGAGCGCCGCGCCCAGAGCGCAGCCGGCGGTGAGGGGCCGGGGCCAGGGGCTGGGGACCCTTGGGGCTGGGAGGACTAGAGGGCGGACTTCGAGCCAAGGAGTGGGTCTGGGGTCACAGCGGCTCCGGATGGGGGTGCGGACCCAGGGGTCCGCCCTGGCCGTGCTCCCGGCGCCGCGTGGCGAGGGCCGCCCAGTCTACTGGGGGACGGTTTGGGCTGAGACCCAAGCCAGGGAGGTTGGGGGGGACGGAGCCCACTCCCGCCCAACCCCCTCCCCGCCTGCCCCAGACCCCGTCCCGGCCACCAGGTGTCCACGGGCCCTGGCCTTGGCACCTGGGTTGGTGGCCGGCTGTGGTGGGCTGCAGGGTGGGGGGGGAGGAGAGGGGGCGGAGAGAAACCCCGAACGTGAGCCCCCATTAGTTTCACACAACAGTGTCAGACCTGATGGGGACACACACCTACAAGACAGCACACACACCGTGACACACGCCCATGTGACTTACACACGCCGTCTGGCACACAGCAAATCACAGCCGCTCTGCACTCAGAGCCACCCCCGCCTCACCCTTGAGCCCCACTCTCAGCTGGAGGAGCATCTCTAACTGTCCCCAAGCCCACCAAGGCTCTGGGCATCTTCGCAGCCCTGGGCTTCAGATTGCCCCTCTTTGGAACAGTGGGAGAGTCGGGAGACAAGCCTGGTGAGGCTCCGGGACAGGGGACAGGATTTGAGGGTGAGTGAGGCTGGTGCTCAAAGGGGTGGGGAGTGGGGGTAGGTGGGGAGGGCAGGGGTGTCGGGTGACCTCTTGCTGGATCTGTCAGAGCTTGGGGAGCTGGGAGTGGCACTTTCCTTGGTTCAGAGTAGCCAAGGGATGGAGGAGGGGGTGGAAGAAAGAGAAAAATGAAGAATGAGTATGAGTCAGCCGAGGATGGAGCCCAAGTCAGAGAATGAGGGGAATGTGTGTGAGAGGGAGATGGACATCCGAGAGGGACGGGACAGAGGGATGTGCATGAGGGAGGTGGCATCTGAGCGGCCGGGGCGTGGGGAGTGAGGACAGAGCTGGTCAGAAGAGGACCCAGGGCAGAGGCACGGCAGCGAGGCTGAGTCAGGGAGCCAGGGAGCACTCACTGGGTGCTGAGACTCCAGGAACCAAGAAGGCTCTGAGTATGTGTTTTCTCGCTGGGTATTTGGCCACAGATTGTCTGGGCGATTAGCTTGAGCTGCTCTCTTTCCTTTGTGGTTACACACTCCAGTTCTGATTGTGCCAAGATCCCGCAGCTGCCCAGCGTCCCGCTTCCTCACTTCCTGACACCTGTGCCGTGTGTGTGGCTGTGCGTGAGCAGGCCGGCCCCCGCCCTGCCCTGGCCTCTGGCACACTCAGCACAGCGCGGTGGTGGTGGCCGGTGGTGGTGGCCGGCAGTGACCCAGCCACCAGGCCCTTGCAGTGACCCAGCCACCAGGCGCTTCCGCCAAACTCACTCTGACTTCACAGCAGGGACGCTTCCTCACAGAGCAGCTCTGGGAACTCGGGAGGCTTTGAGGCAGGGCCCAGGAATCCTGAGCACTCCCAGCACCATCCTCTGCAGTATGATGAAAGTCCACCGAGAGGACTGGGGGAAATGAGAGGGAGAGGGGAAGAGACAGCAGGAGACAGAGACAGAGGAGCAGCAAAAGCCCAGGTCCTGTGGCCTCTTGGCCATTGGGAGAGCTCCCTGCCTCCCCCACCCAAGGCAGGGTCTCTCCTGGTTGCCTAAGCTCTGCTTTCTTCCCTCCAGCTGTGGGCTGAAGGCTCAGTCCCGCCCTCCTTCCAGGGGGTCCCATTTTGCTCTTGGGACTGAATATTTTGGGCAGGTGTCTTGCTCCCCTTCCTGCAAGGCTGACTCTGTAGACAGGCCCTCTTTTCCTTCATTGCAGGAATAAGCTGCCCCCCACCCATCCCCTCTGAATAGAAGCTAAGAAGTGGTGGTAAAGGAATGATTAGGGCTGAGCCACCAGACTGCTTCAGTTGGGGGCCCACATTAAATTGACAACAGGAACCCCGCACTCTCACTTCCCACTCTGTTTGGTCATCCCTGCATAACTCCAAGTAACAGGACAGATGGCTTGAGAGCCCCCCGCCCGTGGCAGCACCACCACCGGGTCTGTGTGGCTGCAGCAGATGGGGGCAGGAGGGCCAGCCACCCCTAATCCCGACTAGCCTCACAGCCTGCTGATGCTTGGAAGAATAGGAGGGAGAAGGGTCATGGATTTGAGTCCCAGGCACAGAAATTTCTCTTGGTGCTGCTGTCTCCTCCACAGGTGGTTCTCCCTCTGCACCCCTGTAGCACTGCCCTGACTGCTTCCTCTCCTGCTTGCTTCCCTCCATCCCCTGGAGGTTGGGCCTTTGTCTAGGGCGGGCCTGGAAGAAAGGAGGAAGGAAGGAAGGTGTGAGGTGGCCCCAGCCTAGCACTGAATGCTCTGGGAGGGAAGGGCCGGCTTCCTGGCAGCCTTGGCCAGTCCTGGATCCGGCCCTGGTATCCTGTCCTGAGAATGGCCTCCTCCCAGGACTGCAGTGACCCTGCTACCCTGCTTCAGAGCAGGGAGGGGGAGAAGGAGGGCTCCACAGGAACCTGACAGGGGGTGCAGGAGCCTCACTTCAGCAGGACCCCCACAGCCAGAACCTCTGTGAACAGTGGTTGTTGAGACTCGAGAGCCTTGTAAGGAGATCCCACCTCCGTGGACCCGGAAATTCCCTCTAAACTCCTGCCCTGGCCCTGGCCCTGGCCTGCCACAACAGCCAGGCCCAGGCAAACGGGTCTCTCCAGGGAGGAGCATAGGCCACGCCTGTCCCTTCTGTCGTCTTACTCACCCCTCCGGTCTGGCAGTGTCATTGTCCTGGAGACTGGGGGTGGGGGGGAACGCCCAGAACTGGGGTTGCCATGGTAACAGCTGAGCTGAGGCTGCAGCCTCCTCTGGACGCTGGGGCTGCCCCTCCCCCCCCAGGGTCTCTTCCCTCCCACCAGTGTTCTCCCCCCACCGGGGGCACTCTGTTCCCTGCCCCTCCCCTGGCCTGGTCTTTGGATGTGGCCTGTGGTTCTGTGCCTCACACACAGCTGGTTCAGACAGACCCGGCCAGTGTTGGTGCAGACGCTCTGTTACCAGAAGGTGCCAGCACACCCACAGAAGTACACGCATGGGGCTCAGTGTCCACAGAGACCTTGGCACATGTGTGTCCCCGGAAATGTCCCTCCACCAGTCTCAGGGGCCTCCTTGTGTTTCACTCAGAAAGTTCCTGCCCACTGCCCTCACACTCGCGGGCAGACACCTCACACACAGACCTCTTCTGCCCACCTCCCATGAAGTCTGCTTTAGTTTCAGAGCCCGAGCTCTCACTCCTGCCAGGAGATACGCAGACACTTGCACACACATACACGTGCTATGCTTAACTCCCACGGGCTCTATTTACACTCTTCCAAGGGAAAGCAGGGAAGGATGACCCTGAATTCTGAATTCAGTCCTGTTTTCCAGTACAGGGTTAGTAGCCGTTTTCTCCAATAGGTTGGGGCTCCTTGGCTCCCTCTCATGTGCCTTTCCCTTCAATTCTTCTCACACCGCTTGTTATTACCCCCATTTTGGGAGCCTCCTGTCATCCATCACCCCCATTCTGTCCTCGGATAGTCCGTGGAGGAGTGCTGGGCTCCACAGCCTGCTGCTGTGACCTAGATTTCAAGGCGGAGCGGCTCCTAGCGCTGACAGGCCGAGAGCATCGTTCCGGGCCCCGGCCAACAGGCCTCCCCTGGGCCCTCCTGTCTGCCTGCACCTGGGGTGCAGCCCAGCATGCCTACAAGTGCCTGTTTCTCATGGGGGTCGTGCTGGCCTTGCCGCCAGCCTCATTGTGTGTTCATGTCACGGTGCCTGCCACCAAGGGAGTCTGGTTTGTTCAGGCCCAAGTAGGGGGCTGAGAAAGAGGACTTTGTAGACCACGCCTCTTACTCGTAGCAGCCGTGCCTTTGTGTCGGGCCGTGCCCCTGCACGCATGCCAGAAATAAGGAAAACGGAGGGTCAGCTTGCCCCCTTCCACCTGCCACATTCCCAGCCCACTGGGGGGATTTGCAGGGAGCTCAGTCCATGACCATCTAGTTCCTTGGTTTTGGTATAATTTACTTTTGTAAATGCTCCACTTTTCTGATTGTAAAAACAATTATGTACTCAGTGTGGGGAAAAGCTCCCTTTTAAAACTCACCATTAGATTTTGAACTTATCCAATCTGGAAAGTTTTCTGTCAGATCTGTCTTAGCCACAGTTCTGTCATAGGGGATGGAGGGAGGATGTTGAAGGGTATCTCACCTAAAAGCTTCCTGAGAAAGGAATGGGGTGAAGGCCTGGTGAGAACTCGCCTGGTCTAGCCCTCTTTGGGGTTTCACGCTGGAGTTGATGCCAGCGGATGTTGCTGCCAGGAAGAGTGGCAGCCCCTTCCTGCCAGATTCCCCAAACTGCATCTAAACCCCTTCCCTGCCACCCAGACTGCCTGGGAACTGGGCAAGGGGCCAGAGCCAGCCGCTTGGTATTCGTGGGTGCGGGGGCAGTGCAGCACAAAGGCAAGGACAGAGGGCTATGTGGAGGCCCACTAGCAAGCAGGGGAGAAAAGGAGTTTCCAGACGGGATGGCCCATGCTTGCCCACCCCTGTGCCCATCCCCCCTGCTCAAGTGGCTGGATACGGGTCCAGCAGAGGGGCCAGGGACATTAGAGCAGGCATCCTTCCAAAATGAGTCATCAGAGGGGAGTGGGAAGTTGAAGCCAGGGCCTCCCTTTGCTCTGTAGCAAAGAGCTGCAACACAGGCGCTGACAGCCCCTCCAGTCCCTCACTTGTCCCTGGCCCTGTTTTGGAGGGTTTCATTATTTTTTTACAGGGAGGGGCTGCTGGTGGGTGGGGCAATTCTGGGGGGACTTGGAAGCTGCGGGTGAGAAAGTCGGGAGCAGGTTGCTATGGTAACCGCCTCCTCAGTAAGGGGAGTTGTTGCCAGGGTGACTGTAGAGGGAGAACCAAGGAGGAGGAGGGTGGGGGAAGGAGGTGTGGCTGCTCCACGAGGCTCCGCCTCCAGCCCAGTGTCCGAGTCCATGTTCACGCCCCAGCCTCCATGTTGTAGGCACAGGGCCAGGCAGAGGGTGTGTGGTGCCCTCCGCTCAGCCCCACTCCCTTTCTCCCCCACAGGCCATGGCCGAGTACGGGACCCTCCTGCAGGACCTGACCAACAACATCACCCTGGAGGATCTGGAGCAGCTCAAGTCGGCCTGCAAGGAGGACATCCCAAGCGAAAAGAGTGAGGAGATCACCACCGGCAGCGCCTGGTTCAGCTTCCTGGAGAGCCACAACAAGCTGGACAAAGGTGGGCCAGGTGGCCCGCTGTTCACGCGCGCTCTAGCCTGTGCACACTGCACTGCTCCTTGACTGGCTGGGGCTAGGGCATGGGCTTCAGTCTTCACTGTGCCCCTCACTATGAAGTATTCCTCAGACACTACTTGCTATCTCACGTATAAAGTGAAACATGAAAATAGAAGTGATAACATTTCAAATAAAGCTGAGTTCTAACATTTCCTTACCCACTGTCAGAAACCACTGCTCTGGGAAGGCCTCTAGGGAGGATTTGGTATTTAAGGTGATCCAAGAGGCAGTGGGATTTCCCAGGTGAGGGGGAATGGGCAGGACAGCAGGTGGGGAACATGGGGTGAGGTGGGGCCTGGCCAGGCAGCCCGTGTGCAGAAGCAGCTGGAAGGGTAAATGAAGGCTGCTGGGGAGTGCAGTCATTTGCTGAGTGTGGGATATACTCACTCCACTGTTGTGAGAGCAGGGAGCTGGGCTGGAGGACAGTGAGGAGACTCCTGCTAGTCACAGGGCAGCCAAAGGAGAAGTCCCATGTCTGATGGGAGAGTCTTTAAAAAAAAAAGATTTTATGCATTCAAGAACTGCGGTGCAGGCCAGAGCTGCAGGGGATAAGAGGATTCACCAGAGACAGAGTGGGGAATAGAAGAGGCAGATCAACTGAAATACACTGCTGAGGGGAGTAGAGGCAGGTCAGGAGCAGTCTGCTGTGCTGTGTGAGTCACCTCCCTGGTGGGGAATTGAACTCGTGCTGCAGTGGCCTTGGATAGCTTCATAGTGCTGTGATTTAACCTGTTGCACCACCAGGAAGGGCCCTAGTGGGACAGTCTTTGATGCTCACTTGCAGGAGAGGCCAATGGGGGATGGGGCAGACATGTCATGTTTAGGATGGTTGGTTTCTCTACCCGCCCCTCACCCCAAGGTGGGACCTACTGGCTCCCTCAAATGCTTTTTAAGCCCATGCTTTCGGAAGGGCACAGACTCACCATTCCTTCTTGGGACGGCCTTCTGTACTGTATCTTTTCTCTGGCTAGCAGCCCCTCTTCTTCCAGTCACCCCATCACCAGTGTGAGCCACTAGGCCGCCACAGTCCTGGAGATGTCCTGGTAGAGCAGGGCCGCTGGCTTTCACACCACGCTCTGACCCTCTCCTGCCTTCTCCAGACAACCTCTCCTACATCGAACACATCTTCGAGATCTCCCGTCGCCCTGACCTCCTCACCATGGTGGTGGACTACAGAACCCGTGTTCTGAAGATCTCGGAGGAAGATGAGCTGGACACCAAGCTCACCCGCATTCCCAGTGCCAAGAAATACAAAGGTAAGCGCACTCTGCTCATTATGTCCCATTTCCCATGGGTCATCCTTGAAGGACTTGAATTGGGGAGAATGGAGACCTATGTTGTGTGGGCCTGAATGGGATCTCCTGGCTGCTCCCTGGACACACTCCCTCTCCTCCCCCCACCCCCCCAGACATTATCCGGCAGCCCTCTGAGGAAGAGATCATCAAATTGGCTCCTCCACCGAAGAAAGCCTGAGCGCGGGAAAGGAAGAGAAGGTTGGACCTTCATCGGACCGCACCCTTCCCCATCCTCCATGGGAGGGGTCAAGGGAACCCCCCCACCTACCCATTTACTAACCTGGTCCTAACCCCTTACTGTGCGCGTGTGTGCGTGTGCGCACGCTCTGGCTGTTTGTCTATGTCTAGCTCATCTAGTTCCTCCTCGCGAGGGGATGGGGGTCAGGGGCTGGGGGTGGCCTAGTTTTCCCACTCTGGGGGAAGTGGGGGGCACGCTCCTCCGATTCCCCTTTCCTCCACTCTTCCTCCCCCCACACATACACCTCTGAAGTGTGGGAGCAGAAAAGGACCTGGATTTCCCTCGGTGGAAGTACCCAGGTGGGGTGAGGATGGAGAGGAGGTGCATCTAATGAAAAGCCACAAGGGGAAGTGGAGAGGCTACCCCACCCCCACCCCAGGGACAGAAAAGCCAGGGCTCAGTGTGTGCCCCATGCTGGATGGGCTGAGGAGTTGGCTTTTAGCTCTTCCTCAGGTTGGAGTTCCTCTTGTGCCCCTTGCATGGGCCTGTAATGGTGTGAACCAGGGATCCAAGAGGATACTGGGATCCTTTCCTGGCCCTGAAGTTCTAGCCCCACAAGCACCCAGCATAAGCGAGCATCGTCCTGTGGGGCATGCCCCACTGGGCCTGAGGTGGGCTGAGGGTGTGTCCTGTGGTTCTCCTTATTCCTGCTCAGACTGTTGCCCGTGCTGACCCTGAATCTAGGGAGTCTGGGGAGGAGATGCTTGGGTTTTAACTGCAGTCCTGCCCCTACCTACAGGGTCCCAACATGGGCACTGCACGTACCTTCCTTCCCCTTGGTCTAGAACACACAAAGCAAGAAAGAAGGGAAGAAGTGAACTAGTGTTTTCCTTTGCACTGATCCCCAGTTCATCCCAGGAGGGGACTCAGTAACCCCTTCCCCTCAATACCCTGGCGCCTTGGGCTTGTGAACGCCTCCTAGCCAAATCAGTGACCCTAGCCTCCTGCCTGTCCCAAGACGCCCTTCCCCACCTTGACCGTGCTAACTGTGTGTACATATATATTCTACATATATGTATATTAAACCCGCACTGCCATGTCTGCCCTTTCTGTGGTGTCTCGCATTAACTGTCTAGGCCAGAAATGGGGTGGGAAGGGAGGCCACAGTTATAAGGGACCGGCACAAATTGCCGTGTAAAGATAAAGCATTTTTAAACTCAAGTTGACATGCGATCTGAGACTAAAGGAAGCTTTAAGTTAGGAGCTCTTTAGGTAGGATGTGGGATGCTTTTAGGAACAAGGGCTGGAGGGGGGGGGGGGCTGGCTGTTTGGAGAGGGAAGCAACCAGACAGGACACTCCACTCCCAGCCAGCCCATACCCTCTGGCCACTGCGGACACCTGCCTTAACACACACCTTGAGCCCTCCAGCTTTGCCTTAAAGGACCTTTGCAGCCCTGCCTGGTTTCTCCCCCAGAGAGAGGGGTCCTTATAGAATCAGGAGGGTGTAAAAGAGCTAAATTGTCATTAGGATCAGACTATGCTTTGTTGGGGGTCGGGGGTGCAGGAGAGAGGAATAGGAAAGAGGAGGAGAAGGGAGTCAGGATCATTATTTTAGCAGTCTAGAAATTTCTTCGTAAGGCAGAATCTCAACACTAACCCATCACCCCATACTGTCGTAAGATGCCCCTTTCCTGTGCTCCTGTCTGCAGTGTGCACGGCCTTGTTCTAACCCTGGAATAAAGGTGACTGATTATACTGACTGACTCTATACTAATTTCTATGAATGACCAAGGTTTTGAGCCTTTGAATGACTGGGAAGGGAGGGGAGCAGTATTCATCTGCCCTCCCCCGTCCAAATCCCTCACAGGAAAGTACTCCTAATTCTCTCTTCCCTCCCCTGTCTCCTAAGTGTTACTGAGTAGGGGGAGCCTCTTCCACAGTGGCAATCCAGACTGGCCCTTTTGAAGTTAATCCAGATAGAGTGAGGCCAGAGCCAGGCCCTGGCATTGGGAAGAGCAACCAGCTTGTCATGAATGAGTGCCCATATTGTAGACAGCATCAGTCAGGAGAGGAAAAGAAAAAAAAAAAGAAAAACTTTACTGAGAAACACGCAACAAACTGCAGAGTGCATGGTCTCAGCCTGCACCACCATTTACAGCCAAGACACGCCAGGCGCTGCTGCCACTCTCCCTACCTAGGGTGCCAGCAGAAGCTCTGAGAGCTGCTAGGACGGCTCAGAGGAAAGCGAGTCTGGGATCCTTTTGCTCTTCCCCTCTTTCCTGATCTGGTCTAATAGTAGAACAGACTATTCCAGGATGCAGAATTTGGGGGTTAGGGGCAGGGAGGCAGGCACGGATATAACAGCAAAAGCTATATATAAAGACAAGAGTTCAATGGGGACTTAGATGTTCAGTAGCCAGTGATACGACAGCCACCTCCATGTAGCCTCACAATTGGTTTGTCCCCCAACCACAGTATATCAAAAGGTGGACAAAGTTAAAAAGTAAAACCCAAGAATCCACCCCTTCACTTTTCCATTAGGAAGGGAGCTGCTATAGCGACGACAGCTCAAGAAGCAGTGTCACAGCCCACTAGGAGGGACACTTCCTGAAGTCATAGTGTAGTCAGTCTGTGGGAACTCTCAGGTTCAAAAACAGGTAGGAGACCTGAGGCAGAGTTGGGACTAATTTCCAGCTTGTCCAACCCTGAAAAAAAAGGCAGAGAGCAACAAGAGGCAGAACTGAGGGGCCGCCTACAAAAGAGGAAAAGCCCCACTGACTGAAGCTTGTAAGTGGAGGGTAGGTGGACACTAGGGGTCACCTCATAGCATTACTCTCACGCTCCTGGAAGTCCCTTTATTGCATTCATAGAGAATATATAGGTATTTCAACTTTGACAATAATTTTAACGTGATACATCCAAGTTTGACTTGCTTTTTAATATATTTATAGATATAAAATTAGGCCTCTAACAGTGATAGAACAGGGAGATTACTGCCGTCAAACAACTTTTTTTAAAGTAACAGAAGAGGTCACACATCCTTCCTATTCTTGCTCCACCTTTGCCCCGTCCCTCACCCTCCTCACCAGATCCTTAGGGTGATGGAGAGAGGGAGGAGAGTGAAGGACACACAATCAAGTGCAAAACATTGTGAGAAGCACAGAGAATATGGGGTGAAAGGGAAAGTGAAGTGTGGGTGATCAGGGGCTCTCTAAGGGCTTTCCAAAAAAGAAAGGATCCTGGGATGGGGCTGTTGGGGGGGAGGGGGCAGCAGGAAAACAATGAAACTGTTATAAATTTAAAAAAAAAAAGGGGGAGTCAAAAACCTAAACCAAAGAGAGAGTGGACTTCTATCACCCCACTCTGGCCCCTTGGTACTGAACAGTCAATGATCCCCCCACCCCCCACCCTAGAAGCCAGGAAGATTAAAGAAAAAGAAACCCCACTCTCTACCCCCAAACCAGTTAACAAAATAGGCTCCCCCCACCCCCAAAAAAAGGCTTTGGGGAGAGGCCATTTCTGCTGGGTCCTATATGCACCTCTCCTGGAACCCACTCTGGGCCTGGCACTCTCTGTGGCTTCGCTCCCTGTTTTGTCCTTCTCCTGGGAGTCTTTCTTTTATCTAAAGCAAAAAGTCCAAAGTGCATTTCTGCTGCATGTAGGGGCCTGAGACAGGAAAGGGCTGCCCCGGCAGGATGGGGTGGCTGCCCCACCCGCCCCTTCGGAGTCCGAGGGGCCTCAGGATGGCATGCACTGCACCCGGTCAGGGCCCTCCTCCTCGTCCGACGTGTCTGAGGAGCTGGGAGACTCATCCGAGTCTGCATCTGTGGCCCCAAGCCCAGGTTCTCGCCAGCGCTGCAGGATGAGAAAGGTGTGTCAGTAATGTCCCTGAACAGGACAAGCCTGTCAGGTCTTAGCTGTAGTTCAGATGCTTTAGGCCAAGGGTCAACAAAATGGGTCAAACAGTGAAGCTGCTACAATATGCTAAGCTCTGGCCTCAGCCTCTTGGTTAGAGTGCCTTCTGAAGGCACCTATCAGCCTGGCAATGGGAACAGAGAGCAGATAGAACCAGCTTCTACTGGTGGGCCTTCCCAGGCTATAACAGGGCCCCAGTGGAATAGGGAGGATAGACAGGAAACTTGACCAAGACCAAACTCCCTAGGTCTCTGGCCCTCCTGAGAGGCCACTACCCCAGAGCGCCCTTCCACCCCAGCATACCCGGTGGTGACGCCTCTGACGCAGGTGATGCATGAGGAACCAGAGCATGTGGCTGTCGAACAGGTCTGTATGATGCAGGCTGTCTTCATCCCGCTCCCGCTTGTTCTTCTTAATCACCTGAAGCCCAAAGGGTTGAGGGTGCAGGTGGCTAACAAAACAGAAACCCTGGAGCTGACCCATTCCAATAAAACCCCCTTTGGGAACTGTTAAGCTGTCCCAGGTCCATCCACCGAGAAGGCAGAAGGCCGTAAGTCCTGATGATTCTCACTGAAAAACCCCTTACCCACTCTACCATGAACTAGGGGCAATTCAACACTGCCCTTGGGCTGGGGATGGTGTTTCTAGAGAGGCAGTGACCACACTGTGAGGTGGGTATTCAACCAGTGGCTCTGAAGACCTGGGTAGCAAGGACAGCAAAGCTCATGGCAGTGTGGGCAGGTGGAAAGAAGAAGGTGCAGTTAGCTACTCACGTCCTTTAATCCTGTCAGCTCTGTAGAAGCTTCTGCCGTAGGGGCCCAGATCTTGACATCATGGTCTAGGCCACTGGTGGCCAGCACAGGCAGGTGAGGGTGGGGCTCAAGACAGTTCACCTGGTCAGGAGAACAGTACAGGCTATGCAAACGTAACATTTAAAAACCATCTTGAGCCGAACAGTTGTCCTGGACTAGAGCGTAAAGGCAGTTGCTGGGAGTGCAGGCTCCTGTACCACCCTTGGCAAGCCCTGGCTGGCAGGGCGCTGGGTATGGGTGGCTTAAGGCCAAGACCACCTTAACTTCTGATGTGGAAGGCAGGGTCTCTTGTAGGTATTAAGGCCCAGAGTGGACAAGTGCCTACACAGACTTACTAATGGCTTCACAACGGAAATAAGGCAAAGATGACCTCATTTATCCTAGTCCACAGCTCCTCTTGCCATGACTGGTGCCATGACTATAGCTCAGTGGCTCTTACCAAATCACATATACATTTTGAAAATGGAAGGAGGGAGCAGCTGTTGAGCCTTAGAGGAGTCTGGGGGCAGTTTCGTGGGTCTGTTGACAGAAATAAAGGAAAGTGCAGGTTGGGAGAGGCTGAGATAGGCAGTAGAGGAGGCATATACTCACTGCCATGAAAGTCCATAGGCCCAGGACGGGTCTGCTCAAGCCTCAAGCTCACACCCCCAGCTGGGTGTGCCCGCTGCTGGCGCAGGCTTCCTTCATGAGAAGGGACCCTGCCCCCTGCTGCCAGACAGGGGAACATCAGCCTTCTCAGCAGGGCAGAGCCGGTCAGGGCAGTTCCTACCCTCACTGGAAAAGCTGTCCCAGATTTAACTGCTAAAACATTTTTGCGCTTTTAGTCAGGTGAGGAATAGATACGATAGGCACCAGAAGGAAGACAGTGTGGTCCCAAGCTGTGCACCCCACTGTGCAGCCGCTCTAAGGTCCTAGAAAACCACCCACCCCTGGTGAATAGCTTTCCGGTTCTCTCTGGACCTGCCTCCACAGCCAAGCTTGCAAACTGAAGGCCAGCATAAAGAGGCGCGCTGACCTACAGTCTTCAATCTCCTTTTCTTCCACTGTTCAAACAAATGCTTAGAAAAGGCTGAAGCTAAGGTGGGGCCTGAAGGTCAAGAAGAAATAGCATTTCCCTTCTGCTACTCTAACTCCACACTCACTCCAAGCTCACCGCAAGCTTAGACTTAGACTGAAGGAAGAGGTTCCAGCTCTGGAGCACTGGTGGGAACACACGGTAACTTCAGTGCAAGGGCATGTGGTCAAAGACAAGGGGCAATCCACACATAAACCCTGTTCTCTCAACCACCTGGTGAGAGCTCTGCCAGCTTCTGCTCACACTGAACTGTCTACAGTCAGTAAAACCAACCAGGACTAGGAAAAAGTCTTGAGATTCTTAGATTGAGGACAAAGCTGAGAGGAAAAGAGTAACAGAGTGATGAAGTTGGTACTCGAGTTTGAGGGAACCCGCAAGAGGGTCAACAAAGTGCCTGGGGCATGGTACTGGTCACTTCACTAGTCCTGTTCGAGTGCTGGTGTTTGGCCTGCCAGTGCTGCCTGAGCAGAGAGAAGAGCTGTGGCTTTACATGTCTGCACTGGGGAGAATGCAGGGAATGGGGTGACACAGCAAAGTGGTTTTGGGAAACTAGGGATTGTCCTCTGCTACCATCCTGTAGTCCTCATCTAAGTGGAGATAAAGAAAGGACTATAGTTTCAGTCAAAACCACAGTCAAGGGCAAGGTGGATAATTTCTCAGATCCCTTCTGGTGCTAACATCTTACTGTGTGATATAAAACTGCCATGTCTGCTTTGAGGCTGGTACTTGGTGACCCCATGGCTGAGAGGTTAGGACAAAAAAAAAAAAACAGGGAGCCTAGTGAGGACCACAAACATTATTTAGCTCACAGAGGCAAACTAGTCAGGAAAGTCACGTCAGGGTGCAGCTGCTACACCTCTAGTTTCAGTCCCGTACTTTCAGCCTGGGGCCTCCCCATCCCTCCCACTGAGCACCTGCACTCATCATCAAATCCAACACTGACGGAGTTGCAA